AGGCTTAGGGAGCCCTCTCTGCGTGGCTACGCACGCGGTGGGTTTAAGCTTTTGCAGCAAAACAGTCTGTTAACAGACTAATTAGTGTTAGTTAACCTAGGTTTAATTAAACAAACGTACGCCTAAGGGGTGTACTAAGAAGTAAGTAGGTAAAGATCTTTTTGTTATTAACTACTGCCCTCTCTCTTTGTACAAAGAAAGAGGGCTCTTAAGTACACATAGCCCCTAACGCACAGGCCAGATAGCCAACGTTTCAGGCAACCTAATTCAGCCGTACGCGTGTACGGACACAGCTGTACTTACGTACGGACAGCTCCTCTTAGATGGTGGCCCGAACGAGCCGTTGAGGTCAACCTTCTAGCAGTTGTTGAATCATGACAAAATCTCCCTAATAGCTCGATTTCTTCTGTCTCAATGAATTCATTTGAGACATTTCGTTCACCACCGAGCAGTCGTTCAAATACTGAAGTCGTTGAAAGTAATATAGTACACATGTAAAAACGGTATCTACGATAGACAACTCATCTCGTAGGTAAAGACCATCGGTCGGTCGGTCGCCATGTCACGACGTCCTTCTCGCACGACATATCCTTTTTCTCTCCCAACGAATGGGACCGAAATTAATTTTCGGGATTAGCTTCTGCGACACCTGAAGATGCAAGGTAGTTGGAGTTTTAAGGCATATATCTTGCCTCGCTCTAGCCTATCCAAGGACAACCTATGCTATCTTCGTGTTTGGCTCTTTTCACCAGTCGCTTTAATTTTCCTAAGAGAGACTGAATGGTCATGCAATACAAGTCGCACAGTTTTGGGACCTGAGTCGCTGCTTAGTCTTGTACCACTGCGCCGGTGTCCAACCCGGTCTGAAAGGAGGATTATCCTCAGGAAGTTCAAAACCTCCCCGATATACCAGACATTTTATTAGAGGATTCTTGAGAACTATAAAATCTTTACATCGCTAGGATGGGCTTACACTGCATCGGGCATTAATCGTGGAGTCAGCCCCTCGTCATGCTCTCAGGCTAGACAATATACACGGGCCATCACACTAACACGACCAGCCACAGTCAACGGCATACGAGGTAATAGATCAGGACGATAACGAAGGGCTAGTGCCTATGTAAATAGCAGAAGCTCGTTAGGCACGGCATCTTAACCGAAAGCCACTCTCGAAATATTATCCTACAGGTCGCTTTTGTTTTTAGAGACTGCAACAATATATGTAGTTTAGACATCATGAGTCGACAACATCCCCGATTTCCTAACAAATCCCTACTCTCTAACACATATCTCTTCTTGCTTATCCTTCTTCTCGTCCCATCAACTGCCTCCCACTCCGAACCCCATTCGACATGGCAGCACTTCCCCATCACAGCTCCATTTCACCCTCCTCCTCCATTTCCTAAACTGAGGTACATCGCAGCCTCAACCTCGGCATCGAAAACTCACTCTCCTATTCCGGGTTCTCGCAACTCTCCTGCAACTCAGCAAAATCAAAGAAATTCTCGTTGCAATCCCTGTACTCTGGTCCATCCCATATGCGGATCTCGATGGCTCATAGCTAGTAAAAGCAATAGAAATTTCTAAACCTAAATATTAATGCTATAATACTCCCATGCTCAGATCCGTGCTTCCAGATTCGAGACAGGTTCTTCACAAATTTCCACACCAATACTAGAAATCATCTTATGGGTTCTAACATCTTACAAACGCACAACTTACACATCCCCGATATTCCAACATCTCTGTCAAGTGTGGGGAACAAGAAATCGATATTCAAATTTACAGTTTGCGGTACAGAGCCTAGTACCTAGATTTCAGATACTAGATTTAGATATCTACCGTCCACGGACCCTCGATTCAGCGCCTACCTTGAGTCGTCCGTTCCCATCCGCTGCCCGATAGGACGCGTAACGGCAGTATACAATTTGGCTATCCGCACACTTCGGCCCCCACTCCTTCACAGCACTCTCCGAGTTCCTAAAGAACTGGGGAAATCGGCGCTGAGACTCACCTTCTTCAACCCAAACGCCATACACTCAAGTCTCCTCTGCATCCGCGAATACCACGCTGATGTGGAGAAATACGCTTGGGATACGCTTCCCTTTTATCATTTCGATGTTAGAGAGGCATTACGGCCGATTTTTAGGGATGTTGTGGTGATGGATCGTGCCAGTTATGGAGGGGATTGAAACATAAGCGTCTAGAGATTGGGGGCTGTGGCGGGCGATTACGAGAAGAGGACGCAATGGACACTGATAGATGACTGGGGTTAGAGGAGTGAGATGCAGTTTGGGAAGGCGAAATTTTGGTGGGTTGAGACGTGGGCTGGCGAGATGGTAGAAGGGTTATGGAGAAGTATCTCTACCTGGAGGATTTGGCGAATGGAGAGGGTGTGGAGTGTGAGGATCCTGGGCTGAAAGTCTCAGAGATTCTGACTGATGGTGGGTTTGAGGTTCTCAGATCCTGTGCCCTCGTTTACCTTGAATAGGATGTTTTCATATATCGAAGTACGTAACTAGGGGGGATTTAAAATGTTCAACTTCTTGCTTGAATTAAGCAAAATTTCAACATGATGCAAACCAGTGCCTTGAATCACCCCCCTGCTATGTGCCACGTTCGGTGACAAAGTACAGTAGATACTAGTAGCGCAATCAACCCCACAAATTCTACCCGGACAGTCCCTTTCCTTCCTTGCCTTGGTATCCACCACATCAATCCCCCACCTCAATCCCATTAGTTTAAGCACCCGCAATCTTAATCTCCTCATCACTCCTGCTCCTCTCATTCTCCAACCTCACAATCCTCTTACTATTCTTCATGCTGACATCCGTACTCCTCGTTAAAAAGGCCGCCACAATTGCCGCGCCCCCAAACCCCAATGCACTAAGATAGGTCGTCGAAAAGGCGTGCACGTACGCCTTCTTCACCGCCAGCTGTGCCGCCGCTATCAACTCTGGTGTTATCCCTGGGACCGCTTTGTATGCCGCAGCAGAGTTCACGGCTGCGGCGCGGAGGAGAGCGGCCATATTTGAGAAACCGGGCGCAGCACGGGAGACTTCGCCAGGTAGGGAGGACGAGAAGGTGTTGTTAATGATGGCGGTATAGATGGCAGTTGCGATGGAGCCTCCCATTAGGCGGAACGTGCCTGCTAGGCCGACTGCGCAGCCGCTAGGGAGAATAATGTTAGCATTTGAAATGCTTATCTTTCTCGCGATTGCCGACAGAGCCGTAAGCATCAGTCATCCAATTCTATGGAAGGGGAAAGGGAAGATAGGAGGGAACTTACATATCATCCTTATACTCCTCCCCTAGCCCTAAACTAATCATGGCAAAACTCATTAACTGCGGCAAACTTACACTAATACTCAAAAACACCAACGTACAAATCGCCTGAATCCGATCACTTAGCCCCACACTTGCCAGCGAGCCAATGAGGGCAGTTTCCATGGACATCAGGAAAACGAGTTGCCAACGCTCGTGGCCGATCTTAGAGCACACGAATGCGAGTAGGAGGCCAGAGGTTACGGAGCCGAGAGGGATGAGCTCGGCGTAGAGGCCGCGGATGATGGGGTCGGGGCCTGTGAAGAGGAGTTGGGATTGGCGCGGCCAGAGGACATTCATGGAGTCTGAGATAGGGTTAGTGGGATTATTGAGCTTCTGGGGATCTCAACCGGGCTCGGGCATCCTCCGAATTCAAAAATCACGGAGGGAGAAGGAGTTTACTCACAATATAACATGCCCCCCACAAAACAAACCACGTAAATCATGGTAACTTCTCTCCACTTCCTAAACAACCTCGGCGGCATAATAGGTTGCGGCAAATTTGCATAAACCTCCCAGAACCCTAGTCCAACAAGACAACACACTCCAACGATGATTGGAGCAATGACGTGCGCAGAATTCCAGGGATATTGGCGGCCCCCGTAGTTGACGCCGAGGAGGAAGAGAACGCAGCCAGACATGAAGAGGAGCAGGCCGATGTAATCGATTTCTTTGATGAGCTGGGTTTTGGTTTTTCCTGTTGGAGATAAGTGTTAGTAGTGAGCGGAAAAGAAGAGGGGAGAGGGTGGGAGGCCGAGTCTTACCATCGTTTTTATGCTTGGTGTGGAAAGTAGGCGGAAAATAAGTAAAGAAGAGCACTATGGCAAAGAAGCCGTGGAACGCACACACTGGACACACCAACGCATTAGCCATCATCCTCGTAGCCTCCGATTTCCCTCTCCCCCCATCCCATCGGCTAGCCAGGTGCAGACTCACTATACCAATAAGCGCCCCTCCACCCAATTCCTGTCTTCGCAATAAACGCATAACCCACCAATGGCCCCAACTGACTCACCACGCCCAAAAAGTCGAATATCCCAACCGCCCACATCCTATACTTGTTAGGCATAATCTCCTGGCAGCACGCATACCCCATTTCCTGGAACCCGGAACCGAGACCGAATAAAACGCCCGAGGCGATCATTTGGTTGATGGATTTCCCGGTGGCGCCGACGATCGTGCCGATGAAGGATATGCAGGCGCCGCAGATCATGAAGTAGCGGCGTCCGAAGATGTCTGGAGGAAATTAACATGAGTCCGAGGAGTTTATGGGGAATATGAACCTGATAGACGCCCACTGATGGAGATAACGAACGACGCGCATAGGGTCTAGAGGAGGTTAGTACGGTACACAAGAGGATGTAGAACCGGAGTCGGAGCGGTGTACCCAAGATACCGTGATCCAGGTGTAGTTTGGATTTGGACCCAGATCGGCGTTAATATAATTCAGTGTTGTTGATGGAATCAAAAGGGTTAGGACGTAGGCGTTATATTGAGATGCCAGGGCCTGCTCCAATCAGCTTTCTTACCTAGAATAACTCTCTAGCGACAGTGAGACAGGTAGGGGTGGGGACACGACAACAGTGTGCAGGAGTGGTCAATAGATTGTGTAAGAATGTCTTCGAGGGGGTTGTCCGAGAAGGGAATGTGTTCCATCTAAGCATACCCAACCCAACCTACCATAAAAGCCAAGATCGTCTGCAAATTCATCCTAGGCTCCAGTTCGGCGGGTTCATACCTCATGGACACGTCTCCTACATCTTCGACCTGCACAGCTTTCGCAGATTCCTTCTCTTCCAAAATACCGACATCATTGATTGAAGCCGTCATCTCGGGATGCCGGCACAGTACAGAACAGTAAGAATGGGGGAATAATTGAAAGCAAGGGAGAATAGTAGTTGCAGATGCAGGTGGAAATGCAGGTGGAAGATGCAGATGCAGACCCAAACCCCTGATGATCAGATCACGACACCAAGGGCTCACATAGCCTTATATACCTCAGCATGCTCCGGCCATCCCGTAAATCCTGGAACCTATTCTCTTCCTCCAAGCCAACCCCAAACCGAAGCCGCTAGCATTAACTCCTAAGAGAATCGGTACTTTGCCGGTTAATGACAAGACGTCTCCACCGATCTGCTTCACTCCGCTATACTAACGGATGGCCGGCGCATGCATGCAACCTTCCATTCCATCCCATCTGCGAGCCAGGAGTGGGGTTTGACACGGATCCGTGGAATCGGAAACCCAAAATCTGGGGAATTCCGCGAGGTGTCGGACGTTGGAGTCGGAGGTTAACTATTCTGGGGTAAAATACATAAGTGGAGGCCTGACGAGTGAGTGGTCGGAGGCCATTTGGCTGCTGGGTGCGGAGTTGTCCTTTGAATCTGATGCCAAGTTGGAAGTCGAACTTCCTCTTTCTCCCTCTCCTTCCCTAGACTCTTCTAGTCCAAACAGCAACAGATTTGCTTGTCGAAATACAATACAACCATAGGCCCTGGAATATCAAAGAATGGTTAGTTCAGCAGTTAGATAAACCAAAAGCGCCACACGCTGCTAGCACGTCTCTTATATCAGCCTTTTCATCCTCATTTCCCCCTAATCTCGGATGTCCAACATCCAATTCAATATCCGAGTGGTGCATCTCGCAAATACGACTCTAAAGATAGATAGAGGCACTCTCGGCAAGGCATGTAGATTGTCAATATTGACTGAGTCGAATGCAGGGAAGATCGATGTTGCGGATGTGTCGTGTTGTTATGTGATGTGACGGAATGGCTGTCGGAGTGGTGGTAGGAACCTTGGAAGGAGCGAACGCGAACGCGATCTCGGGGCTATCGCGGTCACTTTTGTAGAATCACGGACTCATTACTCTGTCCTGTCTGACTGAGGTTATCAAGCATGTATCATTTCGCAATAAATGTCAATTCGTACTGGGTAGAAAACGCACATCTTCCAATTGATTCAATTTTTATCCCATTTTATGCTCTTCTCCTAATACACACAAACAGCGCCAACCCATAACTTAGAGAGCCAGACCCATGGCCGTCACATCAGTCAATCAATGAGTCAATAGGGGGGGCATCACCGACGTAAAGTACCAGATACACACAGACACACACAGACACACAGCTTCATAACTTTTCCATCCATCCTTTGCAGGTACGATTCCCAGCCACCGAATCCGGAATTCGTGATCAGACGTCAGAGGAAAAAGGGAAGGGAGAAAAAGAGAAAAGGAAGAGGAGGACAACACCGGTCTATTAAAAATGCCGCAAAAAGGGATATTCGCAGCTCGCAGCAGCTTGCAGCATCCTCTCCACCACAGCACACACTCGAACACACGCATGACATACTCTGCATTTGCTGCGATCTCGCACTCAAACTAATCCCAATACTGCGCTTAGCGGGTAGAGAATGCCTTGGTGACAATTCTCTTCAGAGCCAACTCCTTCTTCTTCAGATCATCGGCACCGGCGTCCTCGATTTCGAGCTGGGCCATGGCGTCACTGAGAGCGGACTCGATCTTCTCCTTCTGACCACGCTTGAGCCTGATGACAGAAGTAGGGTCGGAGACCATTTCCTCAACACGTGAGATATAGGATTCGAGTTGTTGCCTGGACTCGAACTTCTTACTGAAGGCCTCGTCACTGGACTTGAACTTGGCAGCATCTAAAGGGTTGTCAGAATAGCGCTGATGTAGAAGATGGGTTTGGAATGCTTACCGTTGATCATAGTCTCAATCTCAGTGGATGAAAGCTTGCCAACAGAGTTAGAGATGGTAATGTTAGCGCTGCGACCAGAGGTCTTCTCGGTAGCAGTGACCTTGAGGATGCCGTTGACATCAACCTCGAAGACGACCTCGAGAACAGCATCACCAGCCTTCATAGGTGGGATAGGTGCAAGAGTGAATTCACCAAGGGAAGTGTTGTCCTCGCAGTTGACACGTTCGCCCTGGAACACAGGAAACTGAACGGTCTGCTGGTTGTCGGCAACGGTTGTGAATGTTCGCTTCTTGATGGTAGGGACAGTCTGGCCCCGGGGAACGACCGGAGCGAAGATATTGCCCTCCATGGCAACACCAAGGGAGAGGGGAACGACATCGAGAAGGAGAAGATCTGCAGTATCGGCCGAAGTAGCCTTACCAGATAGGATACCAGCCTGAACAGCGGCACCGTAGGCAACGGCCTCATCAGGGTTGATGCTCTTCTCCAGCTTCTTGCCGTTGAAGAAATCGCTGAGTAGCTTCTGTATCCTGGGGATACGGGTAGAACCACCAACCAATACAATCTCGTCAACTTTGCCCTTGTCAAGGCCGGCGTCCTTCAAGACCTGCTCAACAGGCTGGAGAGTGCCATTGAAAGCCTTGGCGTTCAAATCCTCGAAACGGGCACGGGTGATGTTGGAAGCGAAATCCTCGCCATCGAACAGCGAATCGATCTCTACGGTGGTTTGAGTGGCGTTTGAAAGCGTTCGCTTGGCACGCTCGCATGCTGTCCGCAGACGACGCAGGGCCCGCGCATCTCCTGAAATATCCTTCTTGGTCTTCTTCGTGAACTCTTTCTTGAAATGGTCAAGCAGATTGGTGTCAAAATCTTGACCACCCAAGTGAGTGTCACCAGCGGTGGCCTTCACGGTGAAGACGCCTCCTTGGATGTGCAACAGGGAGACATCGAAAGTACCACCTCCCAAGTCGTAGATGAGAACATTCCTCTCCTTCTCAGACTTGCCAGATCCAAGACCATATGCGATAGCAGCGGCGGTAGGCTCGTTGATAATACGAAGGACGTTAAGACCGGCGATGGCACCTGCGTCCTTGGTGGCTTGTCGCTGGTTGTCATTGAAGTAAGCCGGGACAGTAACAACCGCCTTCTCAACCTTCTTGCCGAGCTTCACTTCAGCAACTTCCTTCATCTGCAAATGTGTTAGCTAGAGGTCTCGACTAGGTTGAAAGCTTTCCTACCTTGCCAAGAACCATAGCAGAAATCTCCTGGGGGGAGAAAACTTTAGTCTCGCCCAAGTACTCGACCTCGACCATGGGGCTTCCGCCCTGATCAATGACCTTGAAGGGCCACGACTGGATATCCTTCTTGACGGTGTCGTCGTCGAACCGGCGGCCAATTAATCGCCTGCAAAGTCAGCAAGTTGATAGCATGAGATTCAAGGAGTATCTCACTTGATATCGAAGATGGTGTTTTCAGGGTTCATAGCAGCCTGATTCTTTGCGGCTTCACCGATGAGGCGCTCCTCGGCGGTGAAGGATACGAACGAGGGAGTAGTGAAGCTCCCCTGCTCGTTGGCAACTGCGCAAGAAAATGGTTAGATCTTGTGTGTATCAATCGCTTTGAGGAGGCTGCTGCGTACTGATCTCGACATTGGTGCCCTCATAGTTGGCAACGCAGGAGTAGGTAGTGCCTATAGTATAATGTTAGCGGGCCTTCAGAGGATTCTTGTTTGGTTTACGACGCACCAAGATCGATGCCAATGGCACCCTCATAGACTTCGTCACTCATGTTGAGATGTGTGTGTAGGAGGTGGGAGGAAGGAAGGTGTAGTGGGGATGGAGTGAAGGCTGTGGACGAACATTTTGCGCTTCGACCGGGCAGCACTAAGAAAATTGCCAGTGCCAAGATTTCTCACAGTCGGAGAAATACTTCTTCCTGCTCCTTGGCATTTTCCTTGGACCGATTCATGGATGAGCCGCCCTTGACTTGGATTCACATGATCACACACAAGGAACTGTATTTCGAACCAGATCCCCCAATGTGGAAATATATCGAGCCTAGGTTTCGTATTCGACGGGTGTCGGTCACATTCATCAATATGGAGGCTACAGAAACACCAATACCACCCACAAAGCCAACCACGCCGTGCTACGGGACAGAAAGAAGATTCCAACACCAAGACGCCAATATCACCCTATCTTCAAAGTCGTAAGTCAAACGCCATAGCCATCCATGCATTTCCAGAGAACGCCACCTCCATAAACTTGACGAGAGCTTGCCTCGCCGAAACCACGCGTCGCCTTCTCATACTTGGTTGTCATGGAATACGAAGTTGATGTCCCTTGGCCTTTGTGTGTTATACCTAACGAAATCCTCGTCGCCCGGTGGCCGCTCCTTCTTTGTGTTGCTCGTGAGCATGCTCTGCAGGCTAACGCATACGCTCTCGACGTTGTGGACTGGACTCCATCCTGAAGTATCAAGGAGGTCGAGGCAGATGATGCCATTGGAGTAGATGTGTGGGTGCCATGGGATCGGGTGCGTGGTGTCTTTGACGAAAACGACTTCTGGGGCCTGAGTAACAAGCAAAACAAGTCAGCGAGAACTTGGCCGAGGTGCGGGGCAAGTGCGAGTGATATAATTGGAATGGGGAATTCGGGGACCAGGGCGGCAGTACCTCGATAGGATAACTCGGACTAAAGCTAAACTTGAGCCGATACACCTCGCCTTGGTATAGTGGATTTGTGTCGATGACGCGGATGTCCATGAGCCATTCCGTGAAGTCGTCTGCCTTGACGAGTTCGACACCGGGTGGAAGGTGGTCGTGCAGCTACGAAAAGTAAGCTTCAGTCTAAAAAGGATGTCGGTTCGAGAGCAGAGCGGAGCGAAGACGGGTGAAAGTACGAAGGGAGCGCAGGAGGACTACGAGTTGGGCGGAGGGCTGGTATACCTTGGTAAGCTCCTACCCGGAATTAGGACATCTTCTCTATAAGGGCTGGAAAAACTATACCTTAGACAGTCTCTTGGAGGCGAACATATTGCACCCTAATTTTTCGTAGCGCTCTTGAGTTAAAGTTGTGACAAGTGCTGGGTGTTGAGTGGAGTGTGGTGGCGGGGCAAAAGAATGCTCACGGCTGACAGAAGGACTGTCACGGTTCGAGGTGGAGGTCGGTGGGTTTTCTGAAAAAAATAATTACGTTGGCAGAGGCCGCGTTTGTAAGTTGGAGCTCTGCCACACCTGGGGCTGTTTGTGTAAACGGGCCGTTGTTTCCTTGTGAAACCAGTCCAGCGTTCTCGAAATCCACTCTCGCACGTGATAGCTCACCCTCCTCGCCCGGAAGAAGGAAGCGTCTGCCTAAGGATGCCTATTGCAAAACAAGACAACTACGTCAACTGGCAGACACAAATGCTTATCTTAAGAACATTTCTCTAGTCATCGGTGCAGTAAGCTGCCTAATAAACTACTGCTCCAACTCGGCTCCAGAACCGATAGCTTTTCCCAAACCAACGCCCATTGATGTACACGAACGTATGGGAAGCTGCATAGTTCCCGTCCCTAAGTCCAGCCCAAAAGAAATCGATCCGTGAGGAACAAAATTAAAACACAAGAACCCAGAAGCTATTGAACAAAAGGAAAAGCTCGCCAATGAAACCGCATCAGTACCCATTACTTAAAGTCGCTTATGAATAGAATTGACCCTTTTGGAAGCTCTCAACACCTATATCCCCAGCTTTGCCTTCGATCTTAGGCGCTTTCTCCGGCACGTGGGCATCAGTCAGAGTTGCGGTTCTGCTCCCGGACGCGCTGGTCATCGTCTGGGTCCTGCTTCCGGCTGCGCTACCTGCCTGGCTTCCGCTTGTAATTTGAGCTTGCTGTCTTCGCTGGATTAATTCTAGGTATGGGCTTGGGAGATAGCCCATCCTCCCGTCTCGCGCCCGGCATCGCCACCATTCCGATGGGTTTCCAAGAGGGTCGGTTTTGCTCAGAACTGCAACCATGTCACCTTTCTTCACGGCCAAGTCGACTCCTTGGACGGAGTTCATGTTCGTGTCTGGGGTAAAGTCGTAGAGTAATCGGTAGAACTCGAGTTTGTTGGGATCTAGGGGTTCGGCGCCATATGCTTGTGGGTTGGCCTCCATTCTCCGTCTTTCTTCTTCCTCTTGTGATCGTGCGAGGGCTTTGATGAGTTTGCCCATGAGATATGGCAGACCGAAAACGGCCACCATGAACATGATGAAGGGTTTCTTCGAGGGCTTAGCGGCGGCAGGAGAGCCATCGGGATGGCGTCCTGTGAATGCAGCGAAGCTCGCCGGAGTCAACTCCTTTGATGATGCGGGTGGAGGTCGCCCTGTGAGTTTCGCGATGGCGGTTCGTATCCAGCGCATTAATGTAAAGATGCCGAGGACAGAGCCCAGCGTTTGCCGGAGGTTGCCAAACTGCTCTGCCACAGATACCATGGCTATTTTGAAAGTCAGTGCCGCACATGCGTTCAGGAAGGTATATCGTCTTACCAAAGAATGAGGAATGCGTTGCCATGTATGTGCTCTCGAGCATCTGCGCAAACCCACCAAATGCGCCGACGATGCTCTCGATCAATTGAAATGTCGTCTGCGTGCTCTGACTGAACGACTGCGTGAGGCTTTGTGGATTGTTCGGGTCGCCGGGCATTCCCATTCCCCCATACATGCCTCCCATACCCATACCTCCCATTCCCATGCCTCCCATGCCCATGCCTCCATACATGCCACCACCGTACATGGATCCATAGCCGCCTCCCATGCGCGAGTAAGGGGATGAATATGCGCTATAACCCCCGCTGCCGTAAGTGCTGTAGGGGGATGAGTATCGGTTCGCGTTCATTGTCGAGTAGTTAGAGGCGTTGCGGTTGGCTACCGAGCTCAGCGCATTGGGGAGTTCAGGTAGCGGAGGCGGATTTAACGAGTTTGATGTCGTTGGGGCAGTTGCTGTCGCTGCACTCGAGGATCCAGTGAGTCCTGTATGTGAGGGTCAGTCTTCACCGTTGCTGACGTCGAAAGGGTCGGCAGGGGAATACTGACCAACCGAGGCACTGGTCTGGCCTCCACCGCGCTCCCATGGCTTTGGTGGTGATGGTGAAGCCATCTCTCCGGTTTTCGCGCCTCACCGTGCCGTCATCAGGGAGTGTCCTCTACGCGGAGATGGGCAGGAATTTAGAACTGGGTCGGCGCCCCCGTCGAAAAGAGGCTGAAGATCGGCGAAGCGAGTTTGCGGGGTTCGCCGGATTTGTAAACAAAGCTGCGCCGAAGAACCGACTCAAACAACTGACAATACCAATTTAAAAGTGCGCAAAGGAAGTGAAGGATATCTAGAGAGTGTGTGTGAGGAAAAGTTGTGGGGTTGATCAAGGAGAGAGGCGATGCGCTGATTCTTCGCCATCGCTCGGAACTGATGAGCCTCTCATGGGCGGATTGAACCTCGGTTTTCCACCCTTCCTCTCGGGCCATCTTTCACGAGCCTGGCCCAGTCTATGGGAGCCGTCACAGGACACACTCTTTCACGAGCCAGGTCATGCACTTCAATACTTGCTTCATGCTTGATGTTGCCACCGCGAAGCTGACGCGTTATGATACATTACTTAATTATTATGCTTTCTACGTATAAATCCAACCGCAGTCGTTCCGTCTAATTCGTGCCGTTTTGCAGCGAATAAATAGAATGTGGTAGCTGTCCTCATCTATAACAACCCACGAGCATCTGAAGAGCCAGGTAGACGAAGCGGGTAGTCATTCAAGTTCCAATCGCGAATAGAGAGTGCGTATTACTGTTAGAATCATACGCCACGATATCAGCAATTTGCGCGTCGCTCAAGGAACTGCCAAAGTCGAAATCGTCGTCCAGGACAGTAGCCGTGATATTGTATTCGTGGAAGATGACCGAGAACTTGAGCATCCTGCCAACAGGCCGCTTGAAGTAGTTAGAGTCTCCGCCTTCGAGATTCCCCTGTCGATGAATGGTCGACTTCGCCCGCTCTTCTCCTCTACCCAGAACTTCGAAGGCGTCGAACTCACCACAGCCGGTTGACCAACATGAACACGGGATGTTGTTTCGGTCGTTTCCATATTGGAGGGTCCGGGGGATCTCCGCATTTAGGAACCACCAAGCTGGTGCATCAGAGAGCATGCCTTGGTCCTGGCCGATGTTGTCGTAATGATCCATCTGGAATTCAATGAAGAAAGCCTTGTCCTCTCCATCCCAACCGTCTGTATAGCGTCAACAACGCGGATGTACCATAGTGAGGTGTCTTACGATGAGCTGTAGATTTAGGTCTATAATACTCGCAAGCTCCGGTACACACCTCGTCCGTGAGGACAGTGATCTCAACCTCCGATGTTTCTAGTGTTCCATCGAAAGGAGTGCTATCGGCTACGCATTCATTGCCTCTGCTAGAAACATACGATAAAGAGTTGCCAAAAGAGCTATGATCGTGTTAACATGCCAGTTGATACATTCGCGTAGTTCACCGTACTGGTCGAAAGTACCGGAGAGCTGGGGGTCACCCAGATTAGCAAGAAATGCTAAACCTGTAGCTTCAGCTGGAGAAGACGAAGTGTAATACGCAATCCGGTTCCAACCAGCGGCGGCTTCTGACACATCTGGGCTCTGCCTTAGGCTCAGCGTCGGCTTAGTGGTTGTCGACATAATCGATGTTGTGATGTAAGGCTGAGGGGGACTGTCACTCTCGGTCGATGAACTGCTATGTGGGGTGTGTACGCTGAGCTGGGTATATTTCGACAATAGCGCTAAGTAACTGCAGTTCCCCGAAATGGATGACTCTGATGTTGGAGGGAACGGAAACGTATTGGAGGGCGGGGGTACTGCTATCATTTCCTCAGTTGTGGACGGAGTTATACTGGAGTTCTGTTCACCACTGCATGCGGTAGCCGTGACAAAGAGAGTCTTCGTGACCGTTGAGAGGTTCGCAGTGGAGCTGCAGTTGGCCAAACTTAAAGCAGCATTTGGACTCTTGGTGTTCTCCAGGCTTGAATAGCTTTCGTAAGAGCGCTTCACAGCCGAATCATCTTTGTAGCCATTGTCAGCACGATACCGAACCATATTAGATTTATCCTCGAAGAGTCCGAGCGAGTCGTCGTGCGCGGCATTGACGAGGGCAGGAGAACGTTTGCGGTTGGTAGAAGTAGAGCTATGTAGTGTGTATACAGCAAGCTGGGAAACGTTCATGGGTCCGCGCAGGTGCATTGATAACTATCCGGGGTGTCTTGTTAGCATTCAGTGACTCAGAAAGATGAACGGGTATTAGCTACTTCACCAATCAGCGGGGTGAGAGAACCGGTGCCAGAGTACGAGATTGTTTCGTGGGCACAGAGGCCGCTTCGTGGATCAATGCTGGTGGTCCGATTATACCTCCCGGGCTGACTGATATTATGGTACGTGATGCCGCGGACCTCTGAGCAGTACCAATTCCCGTCTTCTGCTTCTTCAGCAGTACCCTGGCAAAGTTGTCCAGATGTCTTGCCCATTGTCTGTGGTACGAAGATAAAGAAGGCGAGGGGAGCGAGAACGTGCATAGTTAGACGAGCTGAAGGCACTTAAGATATGTTGAGGAAGAAGCAAGTAAGATGGTAGTATTGTGTATTGTGTTGGATAACAGCGTATTGGAATTTAGCTTAGATCTTGTGAGATGAACATGCAAAACAGCGAGGTAGCAGGAACACAGGGCAGGTGCGATAGCACCTGAGTTGCTCTGTCCCAGAGGGTTTCTAAATGAAAGCCAAGGCAGGAAGGACTCTGCCCAATTCTAGGAATAGGAAAGAGCGCCATCAACCAGTGTGAACAAGGTCTACTAAGGAAATAGTTGGCATCGAAAAGCCTGCCTATGATGGTTCTTAAATGCTATTCAAAGTCAGCGACAGAACACCGGAGAGGTTGATGACAGCATGACTTTGAGAGGAATGATATCAGAAGTCCATTTAGATCATCGTCCCTGCAAGCAGAGACTGACATAAGAGGTACCAGAAAATTGTAGTTTGGATTATTTCATCATAGGCGAAAGTGAAGAGAGGACAGTAAGGGAAGGGGAAAACGCACGTGGAGAGTAAGTTGCCGCTCACCGATTTGGCATTACAAGAGCATTGAGGCGAGATTAGTGCTGTGACTATTGCATCCGGTCAATATGAAGCACTAAAGATCAATGTTGGAGTGGAAGGGATGAGGAGGTTCCTGGATCACCGAAAATTTAAGCCTGCCGAGACGAGTGGTCCGTGCACTCATAAGCGAGTTTTCGCCCACGCAAAAGACTCACGAACATCCACGGCTTCTCCAAGTACTAGCCCACAGCCCACAGCCCACAGCCCCTACTCTCTCTCCCCATCACACTCGATCCACTATGGGAAGACTTCACAGCAATGGAAAGGGTATATCGGCTTCGGCCATCCCATACTCTCGCACTCCTCCGCCATGGCTCAAGACCACGCCCGACCAGGTTGTCGACCAGATCTGCAAGCTCGCGAAGAAGGGTGCTACTCCTTCTCAGTCAGTGCATTGCTCAAATAAGGAATGCAACAGTATGCTGATATGCACGCAGGATTGGTGTCGTTCTCCGTGACTCCCATGGCGTCGCTCAAGTGAAGGGTATTTCCTCTACAATCTACCGCATAGCATGCACTGACAGTATCGCAGTTGTCACTGGTAACAAGATACTCCGAATCTTGAAGGGAAGCGGTACAGTCCCCTGCCCTAGCTGAAAAGCGCAAGTCGACCACAGTTCTGCCATGGCAACCCACGGCATCTGTCGCGCTATACAAATTTGCCTCTGTTGGTTCAATCGCTGACAGAGCGCCATTCACAGGCCTTGCACCTGAGATCCCCGAGGATCTCTACATGTTGATCAAGAAGGCTGTTGCTGTCCGCAAGCACTTGTCGAGCAACCGTAAGGACAAGGACTCCAAGTTGTACGCTCCTCCACTTCTACCTCCCGTCACGCAGACCTTGGGCTAATATTGTGCAGCCGTCTCATTCTCATCGAATCCCGTATCCACCGTCTCTCCCGCTACTACAAGACTGTCGGTGCCCTGCCCCCGACCTGGAGGTACGAGAGCGCCACCGCTTCCACCTTGGTCGCATAAAGGCACGTGGGTTGGAATGGCGATGGTTTAATGAAGGCAAGCACCTGGTCGGAGTTTCATGGATGGAGGGATGCCTATCTGGCTTCAATCACCAGTTCATGGATGGCTATGCAGACTAAAAGGAATCAAAGGCATCACATCTGAAAACCATCCCCATGCGACGTTTTGCGGCATGCTGTGAATATTGAAGAACTAGCTCATTCCCATATAAACGTGATTACTTTTTTGTTTTCTCTAAATCATGGGTATTTTCCTACGCCATGACGCCCCAAATAATTCTGCATGACACTTTGAACGCCAGCCCATGCTTTCTTGATCGTACAATATCGACCTACTCCACACTCCCATCTCTTCTTCGTAATTTCCAAATCTCAGACATTTCTGCTCAAAGGACTACCACCTTGGCAGCCAACATACCATCCGCCCTCAAGGCCCTTCAATCTCCGCACTTTTCTGCGCCAAAAACTCACTGAGCCACTTCAGCGGTTTGTCTGGCCTACAATTCAATTAGCATCTTTCCACACCGCCGCTCAACTCCCGTCCCATCAAAGCAAAAACCATGGGTTATACTCACTCTACAGTAACCAAATGCTTCATCGCCTCCAACAAATGCGGCGTGACATTCTGATTCAAATACACCCTGGTCGGACTACCGTGTGGATTCGGTTGCGTCGGCGCAGAGGGCTGTGGCGCACTGGGGTGCGGAGAATTGCGCGTGGGCGTCGAGGTATGCGTTGGGGTTACGGCAGCGGTCGGTGCGGAGGTGTATGAGGTTTGTTGATGGGTTGGGGTGGAGATTGTGGGTGGAAGGGGTTGTGGGGTTAGGGCTGAGGGCTAGGGAGGGTGTTAGTTAGATTACAATGAAGGGGAGGATAGGGGAAGGAGAAAGGGGAGCGAAGACGTACGTCAATAGTGGTAGCTTCAGTTGAATCCTTCATTTCGATGTCTATGGTTGTACCGTTTTGAGTTGGTGCTGGTGGGGTGAAAGATTCGGTGGGTGGAGGTTGGATTGGGGACGGTTCCGCCATTGTAGAGAGCTTTAGGAGAGTAAATGAGAGGGCTGAGGAATTAGGAAGTTGGGGTGGCTGTGGAAGTTGAGTAAGTTTCAGTGTGGATGTTTCCTAGTCGCGTCCGCGTTTGGGAGTTGGATGTTCGGTGATGGATCGGAGATCTTCGGCAACTACTCAAGACTGTTCCGAGAGATAAACATTTTAGCATATTAGATCTATAATAACTACACTCAACACTAACTCAGCGAGAATGCCTTGTGGATATGTTTCAGAAGTCTAGTAATGCTGTTAAAATAAACTCATTCACATACCCTATTTCTTTATTTTTTGGGTTTGCATCAAGTGACTAAGACGGTAGAGAGATTGAAGGGATGTAACACTAACTTAGCGGACTCGAAAGCAATAGGCCTGTGAACCTTACGGATGCATAGTGGCGAACGACCCTAGTCGATCACTGTCACACACAAAACATACATGTACAATTTCTCATCCAGATGAATGTTTACAATAGTAAGCTTAAGGGATCTCTTAATCCTCAATAGTGGCCCTGTCTAATCACCCAGTGTGGAAGGAATCAGCAGCAGACGAAGCCTCCGCCCCTCGACAGTCCTTCACACACGTTACTCTCAAATCAATCACACAACAGGCTCAAACCATCATCCCTATGATTTGTCAATCCCTTCGTCTAGCCCACCGTCTCTATTAATGCGCAAACCGGAAGCCAAGACGCTTCATCCCTCATCATTAGTATTCGCCAAATAATCATCCTGCTGTTCTCTAGTCAATACATTCCACATCCTCTCCCTGGCTTTATTCCTCCAAATATAGAATAGCTTAACAAGATAAAACAACAGGATATTTGACGAGCAGATCCAGGGTAAAATCTTGTTCCCTCGACGATACAGTGGTTGATCGCTATCCTGGTAAATATTCATCGCGATGATATTCCCAGACTGCACGAAAATGTTGTATAGCGCCGCGGAAACGGTCCTAGTGCGTATGGTATTGCTATTCTTTGCGTTCCAGCCCACGAGGATGGCGCGGCAGTAGGGATAACTGAGAAGGCCGGTGAGCAGAACGTATCGAGTCCAGGGGTTCACTTTAGCGAGGAGTAAGGCAAGAGCGAGAAGCCATGGCCAGATCCAAAGATTGCTGAGACTGCTGAGGATTGAGCGTTCCTTCCAGCGTTCGGAGAACCATGTCAGTATGAGGAGCTGCATAGTGAAGAGGAATTGCGACGGGATGGCTAGGAGATTGGCTTGGAAGACAGAGAAGCCGAGTTTGCGGAGAATGTAAGAGAGGTAGGTCGTTGGGGGTGCTGGTGGGATGTAGGCTAGGAGTCCGATGATGTACAACGACCATAATTCCCAATCTTTGATGGCTTTCTAAAGAAGCGTGAGCCCTACGCTAATGCGATTGTTCATATCACCTTTGCTAGGATCGTCGCGAAGTACGCTGTTGACGATGATCTTTTCCTCGTGCTCGGTGATCTAACCGTTCTTGCCGCGGAACCAGTGCTTCGTTTGGCAAGGGCTTGGAGGCATTAGACCCCAGGACAGAACGCTGATGGCAGAAGTAATAAGACCCTCAATCAAGAAACTGTATTCTATCTCTCAGGAACTCCTCCTGAAATTCGCAAGGGTATGGGCCGCCTACAGATATTGCCATCCACCCTATCCATTAAGACCGCGCATCCGAATGACACCAGCTGCAATCAGTGATCCAACGATATTGCAAGTACTTTCAAGGTCAGTATGAATAGTTTTGGAGTGTGACGGTACCAAATTACCTCAGAGCAGTCCAGAACCATGCCAAACGATTTGGCAGCTCATTCGATTTCTGCGTTGTGCATTAGCCGATATATCTCCTAGGAGCTCATGATGTAGATACACACATATAAATAGGTGAGCCACAGAACAATATCACTGGTGATCGTTAGCCTTGCGAAACTTTCTGGCTGAATGGGGGCGTACGGAATGAATCTTCCCATAAGGAGACCGAGAAAGGCGCAGATGGTGTAATATTGCGTTTTCGTATTGAGCGCTGCCTGCGATGCGCTGGCTACAGATCAGCAGACAATCAGGAACGGAACCCAACCAGTGCACCAGGAAAGTTAGAAGGAGAATGAGTCTTGGCGAATTATAGAGTCATCACCCACCGATACGCACCAACTTTCTTGCTGACAAGGCCGCTGGGTAGTTCAGCACTTAAAAAGCAGGCTAGGAAGATCTGAGCAGTGATTCAATATTGCAGGTGATGTGCGAGATAAGAACGTACCGTTTGACCTTAATTAAAATCATTGGTGTTCATTCCTTTACGACATCGTCAGTCTCTGGAATCAGAGTCCCTCATTCATAGCTTACTAAGGTTCTTTAACTGAGATATTGGGGTTAGCGAACAGCGGTGATAGAAGGGAATCGTATCGGGTATTCTCACCATATTGTCTGAAATGGCACGATTGCTGTTCTTCCTATTCAGATCAAGCGCACAGAACATCACTCAGGCTCAGAGTGCAATCCGCCAGTCTAGCTGTGAAAAAATCAGCATTGTTTACAAGCAGTATCTACATCATCGGCACTAACCTTGCGAACAAGCCTCTTTTCCTCCTCTGCTGTCCACTTGTAATCAGGATCGAAGCGGTGGCAGCCTTCACACCCAGCTAGGTCGTAGACCTCCCGCCAGTGCTGTGCATTAACAAGGTTGCTGAAACGTGAAGTTCGTAGGAGCCATACTCCAGAATGGCAGTTTCCAGGATGCTGGATGCCGCAGAGGCCGATTCCTGCGCGATGTCAACCTTCTTCTCACTGGAAAGGCTCCCCATAGTTAAGTGAATTTAGTAATTATTTGCTAATGAATTCATAGGTTTGGCAGTTGGGAGAGATGCATTTCCTCGGAGGGGTTTTAAAGATGGGCGATATGAGAACTTTGGTCAAATACTGTTCGAGCAATTCGAGGCTGAAATGATACCATCTGTTAGTCCAGCTCTAGGTCCTGGGTGGGCTTTCTCAGCGAAGCCTCGCCTAGAAGTCATTGGGATGTATCTGCGAACATGTAGCCGAATCTAACTATATCTAGAAATATGTCAATCAGAATAGTATGATCAAGACCTGGGCACTCTCTTTTCAGGAGCTTGAACCTTGAAAATGGCCACCCGACAGCGGCTAGGTTGTCATCGGGAAGCACACCAGGATGCCATGAAGATGAAGCTAGGATCACGTATGGTGGATATGCATGATGGTGGTGTGGGCCCACACATTGTCATAGGCGACCATACCCAAGGAAGAAGCACTCTCGAGCCAAACTTCCCTAGTAGAATTCTAGAGAATCTTGACTTGAGTGGAAGCTTATGCAGTGTGAGATCGGGATGTGAGATGGAGTGGCAAAGTTGTCTCACCAGGATCATTCAGGAATAGAGAGGGATCGTCTACAAGGTTAACACTGTCATAGAAAATGGGTCTCGATAGTTTGAGATCTATGCCCGAGTCCGGCTATCATTTGGATTCCTCTGAAAAGCCGGACAACTTGTTTTGATTGGGACAAGAGCTCGTCAAGACCATCCGTCGAAAGTGTGACAAGGAATGGAGTAATCGGCGATAGGTGTATTGAGAAAGAGGTCCGATAAGGGCCGTGGTTGAAATTCTCACTTTACCTCGTTGCTGTGGCACATCAGGTGTAGCTGCAATGGCGTCAATTCACTGTAGCGATAACGCCAGGATGATCGTATCTGACCCTTCTTTAATATTGAACGATACGGGCGATGATACATTTTATGAGGCGCAAAATACTCCATCATTGCCGGTAGTGATAATTCGATTCTGGGTTCGAAAAGATGTACGAGTACATGAAGTGAGGTGCGGCTCTAGATCGGCTTCGGGAATGTTCTCAGGTTCCGGTAAGTACACGTGACCGCGCTAGCCGACCTCAGACGGCGCCTTACCCTTTCAGTAACGTGGAAGGGGACAACCTCAACATCACATTGTCCATCACCAATTCAGTTCCTGCTGGTTCGGTAAATCCCAAAGTGAGTGGTACTGCTTGTCCAGTCCTTAAATACTAGCATAGCATCAAGCCACATCCTGTTTTTCTACTCCGGACCACAATCAGCCCTATTAGGCTGAGCAGGAAAACTTTGAAACGTAACAGTTCTTTCCAGTTATAAGGAGGGGGCGTCTTTCCCGAGGATATAGATTCCAATTTTAAGTTCGATTTGGGCAATCCGTGCTCTGGGCGTGTCTGTTCTGCCTTCCGCTCCGCGCTTAGCGCTCAAGATGACGACTTGAAAACCTCACTGGACACGAACCTTCATTCCTTCTGGGGAAGACCGGTATCAAGCATTCTGGAAAGACATCAATGCTTTTATCACCTTATTTCGTATCCGGCTTGCGATTTTCACACCTCGGTCTACTCTTCACGAGTATTCGATATGGTGTTCTTACACAAGTTGCGGTCTTTTGCAACACTTCTTCCCCCTACACTCGATGAAGACATTACAGCTACCGCTCCGTCAAGACCAATATGTGCCAATCCCCCTATCTATGAAGAGCGACCTGTGTCTATAAAAGAATACGAGGAGAAGGCCTTCGATGATAAGAAGAACTGGATTTTCCGTAGCGCAGAGGTTAGTAATCCTTAAGTCACATTGTATAATCCTCCCGCAACTACTTACAGAATCGGGACTCCCAGTATAACAAAGTCCCCCGGGCTTCATATTTCAAAGAATCCCCATTCTTTACGAAACTCCCTCCGGAGCTTCGCGAGAAAATATATAGACTAATATTCAGTTCCGAGGAGCCAGTTCGGTTTCAGCATATCAAAGGAACCGAAACGATCATGGGGAATGAAGACCACGTTAAACACAAGTCCTTAAAGAAAGGTCACAGCTTTGAAGTCGTTGTCTGGGCTGGATGCGAGCACACCACGCAGCCATTTGCCTGGTACTTCCGATTGTCTTCCCCTCGTGGCTACTATCTCAATAGCACAGCAATTCTTGCCGTATGTAAGGGAACATACTACGAGGCTCTTCCGGTACTATACAGTACCAATCAGTTTTATTTCCATGACACCTACGATCTAGGCGTCGTGCTCCACAAAATAGGTCCTGGCCGGGCTTTTATCCGCGATGTACATGTCCACAGATTCAACGCTACGGATTCAATGCTCTTCGACTACCTTGTGCCATGTACAGATATTCGAACGCTCCGGCTAAGCCCATGGGTATATGGAATAATACAGAAAACAATCTACTTAGGCCCTACTGCCGAGCGACTTGGATTCGACGCGGAAGCTTACTTCAGTAAGTTTATTGTTCAAAAAGGGCACAACTTCTTCGCCATGATTGAGGGACGCTCCTTACACAACAACCCGCTGGAAGTTTTGTCTTTTTCGGAAGGCGTGTGCAAGTTTGGCCATCCTTCGTTACTCCCTGGTGGCCGCCCTTGGGATGAGAATCGTATCGCCAGGTTCAACACAAATTTGCGCTATGATTTGTCAAGAAGGGCCGAACTGCAACGCGAGAGGCGGAATTGTCTTGCATACTTTAGTATGAAATCGATGCCAAGCCCTTGTCAGATCCAGCTAGCTATACAGAAGTGGCAGTGTAGCTAGATAGAACCCTTGTAGGTAGGTATTAGCATATGAAGGAATGACTACTTTCTACCACTATGTGTTAGATTTTCTTACTCCCCGGTTTATTTTCTTGACCGAGTTTAGAGAGTGTGAAGTGACCCAGCGACGGCCAATCCAACCTCTCCCCATCAACTTCTGGCTATTCTCACTACCCAAAGCATTTAAATCACCTCCCGCTCTCACCTCTCGAGTCCCCATTTCAACTCCAGCTAAAGTTTCTTCAGTTTCGGCCCTCCGAAAATCCCCCGCACCGGTGAAGCCTCCCTAGCTTCATCATAGTGAGAGAGCAGTAACATTTCTAATCATCACCCTACAACAAATCACAGTAGTTGCCTCAGAAACCAACCACGCAAACAATTTTTGCTAAGCCAACCGCCCACGACGAAATACGCTCTCACTAGGAACCTCCCTACTGTGATCTCTATATTCCTGCCCCGCTCCTTCCCGCTAACTCTTACCTCGTCGCACCCCACCTTCGCTTCAATACCATCTTCTTCACTTAAACGATATCTTACAGAATATTATAGTCATGATTGTTACTCGCGCCAGTAGTCCGGATGAGTCTACCGCCAAGAGAGCTACGAAGCGCATACCGAATCCCAACGTAGGTCTGCAAGCTGATGCGCCATCAAGCTCGCTGAGCGGGTCGGAGGTGCCGGAACTTGAGGGCGAGGATGTCGAAATGGGGGGCACTCCTTCTCCGCTGAAGAAGCGGGCTCGCAAGAGAGGCCCTGTAATGAACAACAAGGCGATTCGCGCTCGCGAGAAGGCGATGGTATGTCTTTCCGTCTATTTCTCCCTGTCTAAATTGCCCACTAACGCATTCTAGGTGGAAAAAATCGACCAAGTTCAGAGCAAGATCAAGAACCCGCTCGACAAAGAGGATGGTGTTGTTGTTGACTGTTTCTATCATGTCAACAACTTGGCAGCCCAGGTAGGTGGTTCCGCTACAAAGGTAATCAGACGGGCCTTATATTGATTTCTGGCAGATGGACAAGAACGCCGACTACACCCATCTAATTAAGCTGCAATCCACCAACCCATTCGTTCTCGTCAAGCAGGTATGCACCATTCATGACCTATTTTCCACTCCTCTGCTAATTAGATCATCAGGTCATAGTCGATGAAGGCCCATATGCCGGTCACGTCGCCATCATCCTTAAACAATCCGTCCCCTTCCCACTCATGAAGCTCCCAGTCTCAATCCGTGCCAAGATCTTCCACCACCTACTCGTGCACCCTGAAGGCGCCATCACCATGGCACTCAAGCAAGGCGGGACGAAAACCGCCTACGCACCAACCTACAACTCCAAAAACCGACTCACGATCCTGCAAGGCTGCCGTCAAATCCACGAAGAAGCCGCACCCATTCTCTATGGGCAACTCTTCCACTTCCCTGGCACCCAGGTCATTTCCTCGTTCCTCCTGCAATGCGGTTCAAACCGCAAGCACCTCAAGAACATCCGGTCCGATACCTACAATTCGCAATCCGCGCGTACCATGTTCCATCTTCTGCAGGAAGCCAAGGATTTTGAGAAGTTGTCGTTTGCCCATGTGAGCAGCAATGAGCAGCCTAAGACAGCGATCAAAAATATCTACAACGATGCCCATGGCTGGCTCTTGAACCTCGATCCTAAGAAACCGACGAAGGGATTGGATGTCATGAGTTTCGATCATTCGGCGTTCCATTGGCGCGAGAAGGACAACGAAGGGAATACGATTGTCAAGCAGTGGGGTCCGGCTGAGCAGGTTGAGTTCCTGAAGGGGTTGAGAATTAAGCTAAATCAGGCTGGCCGGAAGACTGTGGCTTGAAGGTTCAGACTGACGGTCAAGAATCACGACATGGAATAGCGGATTAGTGATAAGTTCGGTAATGCAGCGGCAGTGGACTGATATGAGTATTTGGCGGTGTAGGTGGAGTTGGGTGCTCGGGTCTTGCGTTTTGGTGGGTTTCTTGATGCTTCACGTTGACTTCCCTTTCTTCCTGAAATACCCTGCACTATCTCCCATGTCCCTTTTCCTCCCTTTCTTTTTCAAGAACCTTCACCTCTTCCCAATGTTTCTTTTGTCCTTTTGGATACATGGAGTTGGGGATTAACGTGGCGTTTTATGTAGCAGCTAATACCCTCCGTCGACATCATCACGATTCGAGTGTTCTAATAGTCGGATCAGATTTCTTGCTGGATTGTGATGGCGAGCAGTGGTATTGCAATGACGGTTTCGTTTTGATGTTCATAAAAGATCTTAATAGAGTTTCCTATTGGCCAACATGGCAATTCTCTTACTTCGCCTAGTAGATAATTTGATCTTTGATGCATACTGTAAACTACTTCAGGCATGGCTTTTAGACGCTTCCACAGCACTGCTAACGCTTGCTGATATCACCAGATCCGCATAGCCCAAGCCCTTTCCAACTATGTTCAGCCTCTGCACCTCTCACGCTCACATCCAGTCCATCCTCCCCTCTCCTGCCCCCTTTATCAACACTACTCCCCATACCACTTACAACCCACGCCATGAAACCTCCAGCCCTTACTACTCCGGTTAATCCTCCTAAACTCGGCCCCACACTCCCAACAAAACTGCCATCCACACTTCACGCACGTCATATGATCGCATCCCTCCACTTTCTCAATCCAATAACCACATATTGAGTTTGGACATCGCTTGCCAATTTCCCGGACTGTGCGTTCCCCGACCTTTTCTTCAGTGCGGCGGAGGAGCGTTGGTGATTGAGAGGTGGAGGAAGAGACGGAGATGCGCGCTTCGAATTGCGAACACGTTTCTCCCGCATGGTAAGGGGTTGTGGGGTGGTTTACACAATATACATGCGCGCAGGAGACGCATGTGAAGACCGCGTTATCTGGCGGTTGGATTTGGCCAGATGGACAGCCATTCGGATTCATACACCAGTGGAATCCCTCAATCTTCGATAGCGTATCTCGTAGCGCTAATGTCGCATATCTATTCGGGAAAGCTCTCACTCCTCAGCTATCTTCCTTAAACCTGCACTAAACTTCGAAACCCTAGGAATAGATGGAATTGAGATGGCATTTACCTCTTAAACCCCTCCACGCTCGAAAAACTCCTTACATCCTCCCAGCCCATGCCCTCTCCACACTCAGGACACACGCACTTCGCCCAACCCTTGTTCTCCACACACTCGGAAATCCATTTCTGCATGCAGTCTTTACATGTGTGTGGGCCGTGCTGACAGCGTGTTGTTGTTTTTCGGGTGGGGAAGGAGGAAGTTTCGAGGATTTCTTTGCAAACTTCGCAGATGCGACGGAGGGACTTTGGAGAGAGCAGTTTTATGGATTGCGCAGTGTGGATTTCGATGGTGGTGGGGTAGGGAGGGAGATCTTTTTCTTTGGAGGGCGTAGTGGGGACGTCTGGGGGAAGTGGCTTACGACGGATAGGGATCCGAGTTGGGGTTTGACTTTGGAGCTCTGGAGGTTGGAATAAAGGAGGGGGAGGACGGGGTTGATTGCTCGTGCGCGTGTGAGAGTGGGAGTGCGACTGTGAGCGCTGATGCGATTTATGCGCCAGAGGCGAGCCAGGTGAGCCCAATGCCATTTCATTTGAGAAGAACGGCGAGGGAGGCAGTGGCATAGACTGTCTCTTCTGTAAGGGCACATTTTCAGTTTGGTGCTCCAGCCGCTTCAAATTCCCTTCCGTCAATGGCCTCACTTTAGCTTTACGTTGAGGTGAGAGCGGTCCAGCTGATATGCTTAATCCTCTCCTTCGGATCGAAGATAACGCTGTTGTCCATCGGCTCGATCGCGGAGGACGGTTAGCTGTCGTGTTATCCGTAGCAGCAGTCTTGAAGGTCTGTTGGAATGAGACGGGTGTCGCAGGTGGAGGAGAAAGTGGTCGATGTGAGTACTTTGTTTCGGCATGGTCCTGTCGTGTTTGTCTCGGCGGTGAATGTTGCTGTATCTGGGAGGAAACAGTGGGCACAGGAGTTCCTGGAGAAAAATGGGACAAGGGCCGCGAGAAATTGGTAGTTCGGTTCGGTCTAAATGTGCTTGGAGAAGCTAGAGGCGGAATGAGATTGCATTCGACGGCATGGATCTCAAAAGACACTGGCTTTCCAATATCCTGCTCCTGCTGCCCCTGCTGCTCCTCCTGCTGCTGCTGCGGCGGCGGCGGCGGCGGCGTCGAAATATATTTCTGGTCCACCGAATCCAGTGTAAGTGCTCTGGGTCTTCGCTTCATCTCACGAAGTTGCATCCGCAAATCCTCCACATCATCTCCCCCAAACTCATCCATACTCCGCCTCTGGGCAAGCACTTCCGATCCAGCCCCAGGTACCACCTTCGGCACCTTAACCTGAGGTCGCGGACTGATCAAAAATCGAAACCGCAACCTTTCATTTCCCTTCTCTTCACGCCATGTCCCAAGTCCATCACTCGTGTCACGAGTTCGACTCTGCACATCAGCCATCATAGTCTTATTCGTAAAAGTTGGCAAACATCTTTCGGAGTTTCAAGTGGGGAGTGAGAAAGCGCGGTGTTGAAAACCATCGGTAGAGCATTGCCCCATAACCAACACGATAAACGAAGCTAGGGTAATCATGTTTCATCTTCGCTGCAGATGCACGTCTAAGTGTACATGTGGCATGTTAGCTTGCCTGACAAGCCATAAGCTGATTGCCGGAAGGAGCCCACCCTCGTGTTTGGTGTTTCCAGGGTTTGCGGCACCCCGCAGCTGAGGTCCAAGAATAACCCGCTCCCACGTCTGACGTTTGACGTAGACAAGGCTGCGCGATGTCACATGCACCACGGCAAGATCAACCGATAAAAGGATTTACAGCCTCAGCATTGACCGTAAGACACCTATACCCTTGAACCCCCCCCCCCCCGCGTACTCCAGTATCTCCACTTAGCAGGAAATCCGGCAAATATACCATGCCACCGAAGCTTTCACCACCACCCCTCCCAATGCAAGAGATATTAATGTACATTCTGAGGTAGAGAGCCTCAAGTCAAAATCTCGCGGTTGAGCGATAATCTCAGTGACCAAAGAGCATCCAGGTTGTTATGATCCCAGATAGTATAGATAAAAAGTCCACCAGCCCACCTCTCCACTCTTCCTCGTCTCGCTATTGAACACCCCTTCTGAGCTCACCATCACGATCAGGGATAACCCATAGGGTAGGGCAGAGTTTATGTGTTCAAGCAGAGCGTTGCAACTTACAAGGATAAGTGTCCGCTTTCCTTGTGCTCAGATGAAGATCTCCAATTCATGCCTCCTCAGATCTGGTTCCTTGTTTCCATGCTTGTCTAAGCCTGGAGCGTCGAAATTCGGATATGCTGGGACCATTGCATCGGCAGACTGGACATACGCGTCATTGTAGAGGCGCCAGTATGGTTGTCGAACCTTGCGAGCTGGGTGGAAGAGACCAGCTAAGAGGTAATTCATAAGAAGTGGAGTGCCGACGGCATTGCGGATAGCGTCAATTGCTTCGATAATACGGTCAATGACGTGTGGGCTTGTTTCGAACAGGTTGGGCCAAAGTAGATTGAGAAGATGAATCATGGCGTCCTCGCAGTCAAGACCAACGCAACCGAGAGCGATGTGCTTCACGACAGAGGCAGCTGTCTGACGGTGAACCTGGTCCCGGTCAATGAGTGCATCCTCTAAGAGGGGCGTAATGGCGTAGACGTAGTCCTTAGCCATTTCTCCAATATATTCGAACATGAAGGAGAGGGCTTTCAGAACGCCATTCTGTACATTGAGCTCCGGAACACGATACTCGTTCATGAGCGCTGGCAGCACTGTGAAAGGGGCACAAGTTTCCGCGACGATACCAATTGCGACTGCAGTGCAGACGCGCGACTGCCGTTCTTGGACGCGTAGGTTTCCGAGAAGAGTAGCTAGTACATCCTGAGGTCCGATAGCCTTGGCGATGTAACCGAAAGTGTTGTTGGCTGCACGACGGATGCCCTTCTTGTGCGCCTTGAGCATATCGAGGAGCTCGAAGCAAATTCGCATCCACTCTCGAGGTTGGACAAGGTCCGCGCCACGATCTGCAACACGACCCACAAGATCAATCGTATTTTCCTGCACCTTTTCGTGCCGATTTCGCAAAATCGGCGTCAAGCGCGGTAGGAGGTCTCTAATGGGGGGCTCCATTGAGGTAAGGCCGACGACAGCGACGATAGAACGAAGAGCACCAAGAATCGATCCTAGGACCTCTGGATACTCTTCGCCCAAGAATTCGTACAGCGTTCCCCCAAGCTTGTTCATGAGTTGGTGATCTCCACAAGCGTTCATGACATAAGTGATGCGAGAGATTAGATCGGCAGCTTGCTGACGGACAGTTGCTGACTTGTTGTTGAGCCGAGCCAGGATAACATGGCAAATTTGGGGAAAGTATTGCTTTGTCCGTTCAGCACCGAGAGCATTGATAATTGTGGCAAAGCCGTCGAGCACGATTGGATCCTCAATGCTTTGGTCTTGGAAAGCAACAAGGATACCATCAACGAGGTTGTCTTGAAGTCGATCGTCGACGTCAGCTGCACCGAGAGTACTGATGATTTTGTCAATAGTTTCGACAGTCATCTTGCGGTAGTTTTCGCTCTCATCCTTCATATTAAGAACAATGCGGCCCACGATCTCCGATACGCCAGCTTTCTGAGCTAGATCGACGGTTGTCTCAACCACCTGCCGGTAGTTCCGCTTGTCCATAGCCATGCGGCGAACCCAGAAATTCTTGAAGAATTCGTTCAGGACATTGTTCTTCAGGAACGTTGGGGTAACTCCGGAGGTGCGAGCGCATTGGGAAACAACCTTCAGAACGACCTTCTTCATCTCCTCATCGGGTGACTGGAACTCGCGAAGAACGATCTCCATGATTTGGCCAGTATAGTAGTTGGAGTATTCTTCGTCCATGAGAGGGATGATAAAACCGACAGCTTTCAGGAATGTTGCAAGAGCCTTACCACGCTGCCGTCGAGCTCCAGTCCAAAGAGGGTTTAGAATGTTATCAAAACTCTCGATACCGTAGGGGGTGGCGGCTTCGGCAAGAGCAGCTAGGGCCAAAGCAGTGACCATCCGCACTTTTGGCTGGTCGTCGTTGAGGTTGTCTCCAATAGCTTCGACTAGCCCTCTCAAGTGGGGTAGGATAGCACAGCCCATAAGAATAGGGATCTGTTGAACGATCTTGACACCAGTGTGTCGCGCATGCCATGACTTCTTACTCCTACAGACGGCTCGAAGGAAGGGAAGAAGGGCTGGGATGCCAAGTGCTGATGCAACGACGGCAAACGCTCGAGCGGTTGTATTCCGAACATATTCATCTTGATGATCCAAGTCGGGACGCATTGTGCTGATCATAGTTGCAAGACCAGCAGCCTTGCTGAGGTTGGAGATAATCTCACGACCTTCGACACGGGCATAGTAGTCTTGATCGATGAGGAGTGGTTCAATCACAACCAAGAGCTTGTGGACGAAGGGCCGAACCATATCGTCGAGTTTGTACAGAACTCTGTCAATAACCTTGACAAGTAGATGTCGCTCCTGGTCTTCCAATGTGCGCTCCATCAACAGAGGTAAGATCTGGTTGAACAACGGTCCAGCACCAAATTGACGAGCGCCATCAGTAAGCTGGCGAAGGGCAGTCTTCCTCATCGGCGGCGTTCCATTTTTGACCTTTAGAAGAAGTCGCATGATCTTGCGCTCCTTCAGTTCCTCCATGTTGAGCTCGTTCTCATCGGCGCCATCGACTAGCTTTCCGAAGTATTTCATATCCTCTTGCTTGAAGAATTGCAGTTCGCCTACGCCAGGGATGGCAGTCGGTAGCTGCTGGCCCAACAGACCTCCGGATTCCGTCTCTTGCATGACGAAGCCTTGGTATCCGGCTGGAAGCTGTGCTGGAATTCCGACGGCTGTACGCACTGGCTCATATCCTGGTGGAGGGTCCAGGATCTTGTAGCCTTCGGAGGGGAGAATCATATTCAGCATCTCATCTGAGAGAGGCATGTTGCGAGATGAGATGTCAGTGCCAAAGGCGAACGTCATTGGGGCAGCCATAGATGGATGGGCTGGAGTTGCAAGACCTACAGCAGGCGCGGGAGTTGCTCCTGCAGCTGCGCCATTTGTTCGTGGAGCGTTAGCAGGGCCGGTAGCCGTGTCCCATCGCGATCGTCCCACCGGGCCTGGTGCTGTTGTTGCTGCGGTTGCCTCTGCCTTTTCCCACCGGGACTTCTTCGTTTCGGGTGTGCTCTTCTTCTCCTCAACCTTGGGTTTCTCGTCCTCAGTTGAATCATCCCATCGGCGCTTGCGCTTCTTCTCCGCAGGAGGAGTCTTGCCGCCGTGTGCCACATCGTCCTTGAGAGTACCCTGGTATTCAAGGGCCCCAGTCTCGCCCTTAGCTTCTCGTTCTTCAAGTACGCGTTTAACACGCGCTTCTTCCCGCTCGAGTTCACGCTCCTTCATAACCTCCTTGTAGGACATGCCCTCCCCGTTGGCGAAGGGGTCTGCTCGGGTCGGGGAGAGTTTGCCATTGAAGCGATCGAAGCGCCGCTTTTGGTAATCAGTCTCTCGAGATCGGATCTGGGCCTGTTCCTCGCGACTCGTCAGGATGTCGGCCTCTTCGGTGTCGCCATGGGCGAACTCGTTAAGCTGCGCCTTTGTCGCAGTGTACTGACCGACGAGACGTCTGCCATTTATCTCTCCAACATCATCCATTTCGTCATCGTCATTGACTGCGATCGAAGTGTTGTAGCCAGCAAACTTTTGGACACCATTGCCATCGTAGAGTTCCTTATCAAAGGCCTCAGTGAGGGATTGCTTGCTTGAGCCGTTAGGGATGGAGCTTGATTTCTTCCCTCCTGCCTTTGCGTCTTTGCGTTCCCGCTGGAGACGCTGCGCGGTGGAGAAGTCGGCTACATGACGATTCAGTTACTTTCTAGTGGGGAAGGGGCTGAGGACATACCGTCAGACATATTTGCGCGAATCGCGGAGTGAATGTCCTTACTGCTCTTCTTGTCGCAGGGAGAGATGCGTCGACACGAGGAGACCGTTAAGGCCGTCGCATGTAAGTTGGAGGCGAGGGTGAAGGTGTCGTGTGTTTGATGACGGAGAACACTTGCCCGGCAGAGTTCGAGATACTTCGCATGCACGGTCCAGGAACTAGTCTACTTTGGACCACGATGCTTGGCATTTGTCAGCCTCAGCTTCACCAAACCTGCATGTTGATGCCCTTCCACGGTTCTATTCACTAAAATGAACATTAATTTTCTCAGCATGTCCTTCGATTAAGATCCATTCTCTGAGGTGTTGGGATACAGATTTTGAACGAGTTACGGCAAGCAAAAGGGTGATGCAGCTAGAACAGGCATTCAACCCCATCAAGCTTTGCCTCCCCTCCTCCCTCCTGCAATTCCACGTCTTTTACTCCGCTCTTAAGATATACCCTCACAGTTCCTGTTGCACCTAAGTCCCCATATGTTACCTTCAGACTTTTCCCGGAGGTATTGGTCGTCATCTTGATCTCCACACCCTCCCCATCTGCACCCTCTCCCTTGAAATATGTAAATCTCGACTCCTTAACCTCAAAACTGGGAAACACCTCCACCGTTAACTTCGGACTCCAATTATCGATCCACCTCGCATTTCCTTGATACACGTCTCCGCGAGGGATAATCGCACCCTGGGTCACATACACCGGAGACGAGGAAACGCTGAGCGTGACACGGGCTGTATCACCTACTGCGTGGATATCCTTTTTGCCAAAGTATTCAAGATATTTCTTCGACCCGCCGGCCGGGAAATACACAGTTCGTGTGCCGCCAGACGAAACAATGGGGGCGACTAGGAATTCTGCACCGAAGAAATACTGGTCGTTAATCTCCCAGGTATTTTTGTCCTGCGGGGCTTCTAGGAATAACGCGCGCATTATTGGCGCGCCCGATTTGCTGGCTGCGTATGCATAGCTCTTGATGTACGGAATCAGTTCAGAATGTAGATTTGCTGTTTGCTTAAGGACGTCGACTGTTTGGGTCGAGTTGGTGTAAGGTGAGTACCAAGGTGTGTGGTTTGTTCCTAGCATAAATTCGTACACGGGCGAGAATGCAGAAAACCACATCCATCTTGCCCAAACCTCCTCGGTCGGGCTCTGGGTGCTTCCCGTCTCTCTAGTATAACCTCCTGTATCAGAGCCCCATATTGGAAATGAAATGATACCAGAGCGGATCCCGGAAGCAACCGAATAAGCAAGGCCTGTGAAATTCGCATGCGAGTCTCCATTCCAAATCGCGGTGCGAGCACGCGAACGATCTACAGCGCTACGAGCAAAATTGTAGAAGTTACTCTTCCCCCAACGCTTGATCATGGTGTCGTAGGCGAGTTGGAGGAAGAGTGTCATCTGGAAGTTTTGTTCCCAAACGGGCATTTCTTCTTCTTCACCTCTATCAATTTTATATCCCTTCACTCCTACGCTAGGGAAATACTCCAAGCTCTTCTTGAAGTAATCGTAAGCAGCAGGGATGCTGAGATTGAGTGCCGGACCGAGGAATTGAACGGGGTCGACGCCGGGGAACAGCCAGTTGTTTGTCTGTGAGGTGTTGAAGAGCTCGGTTTTGAAGAATGCGCGGTTTGCGATCCAGACCTGGAAGTCGAATCCCCAGTCACTTAGATTCGCGATGAAGCCCTCTGGATCTGGATAAAACTTCGGGTCGAAGTCGAAGTTTCCAAAGGAGCGGTTTCCGGTGCCATAAGGACGGTCTGCAAACATAGATGTTGCGCGGATCTGGTTGTAATATAGATGGTTTACTACGTCGTAAAAGTTTTCCTGGGCGTTAGAAACGGTACCATGGAAGTCTTGCTCGAAGTCATCAGACCAGAAAGTCGGGCCAAGACCGGATGTTGGTGGCATTCCAGGCCTGGCGCTCAGTGCCGTGTACTGCTCGATGATACTTTTATAGTCCCCCTCGCTCTTCGGGAGAATTATATAGTAGGACAGATTGCTGGTATTGAAAATGAACTGCGCTTCCCCTGGCGTCTTGAAATCATATGATCCCATTCCTAGCGTGTCCGCATATACCCCGTAGCCTGCGCTGGTGATGAAAAATGGAGCGCGTGCATTTGACCAGTTTATCCCTTCTGCATTGCCCACCCCTTTTAAGTCAAATGAAACATTTTTGTTCGTGATTTGCGCGGAAAATGGATATTCCCATACGCCATAGAAGTGCGAGGAAGTGGCTGTAGTAAATCGCGCACCAAGGAAAGGGTATGTAGTGTTGAGCTGGACCTTTGCTACAGTGGGAGTGATGAAGCTGTAGGAAAGTTGTTGTGTATTATTTCTGAGTGCGCTGGCTGTTGTATTTTGACTCCCAGCTAAGATGACTGAATTATTAACGATAGTACGATTTCCATCCGTAATTGCGAGACCGTAGGATTTAGTGAGGGTGATGTGGTATGTTGAGAAGACAGGTGGAAGGAGAGAGAAGCTCAGCAATAGAAGATACAACCCCATGGCCATTGAGTAACGAAGAAAAAATGGTATGAGCCCGTACCTAGGTACACAGTCGAAAGAACCCACATCTTATATGAAGTTGTTCCTGATCGCCGACAGCGAGCAGACGCGGGTATTTAATCTACCGATACTACACCGGGTTCCAACCCATGATCGACATTTTAGGAGCGATTTCGAGGTTTTCAGAAAACAATTTTTCCGAAGCGGGAACTAGACTACGTTTGGTGTGAGTTAGATTTTCTGTATTCTAAGAAATGTGTGCCCCAAAGGAAGTGCGAGGACGATATGTTGATGGATCCCCGCTTCTCGGTGCGGAGAAGATGCTGTGGGAGGGTTGGTGACGTTAGTGGGACAGGGTACAGGCTAAATGGATGGGGCGCGCTTTTAAAGACCGCTTTCCGCCTTGTGCATCTTGCAATATGAAATGCTTGGAAGCTCTGCGTGAATGTGTTGGTGTTGAAATGGCGCTGGCTAGAGGAAGAGTGACGGGAAGTCGGGTCAACGGCTTTAACGTTCGAAGGTTGAAGAAATTGGAGAAGGACGCTAGTCACTCTTGGTCTAGTTAAGCAATGCCCAATAGACTGCCCAGGTGCGATCTCAAGCTGGTAGTGAACAACACTTGGGATTGGACTCCCTTCAGCATACACCGGCCCCTTTCAATCAACCAAATCTTTCGGCCTCAATTGCACTCCCTACAAGGCTTCCACCCTTTACGACTCCAGTCGAGCAAATCATAATCTTACTTCCTCTGCCTTCTCCTCCAACTTCCTTCAACTTCCGACCAATGAATCTTAGAGCCGAAATCTCCGCCCTTGTTACACCACCCAAAAAGAAGACTATCACAGTCTTCGCCGCATCATTGTGACTACCATTTAACATACTCCTTGCCTTAACAGCTTTCTCCTCGCCCGTCTGCGTTTCATCGAATGTCGCGCCTCTTATATACTTCGTCGCATCGTCAAAGATCCTTAAACCCTGGGCCAATGGGTTTGCTTGGGCCGCAGCTTGGGGGTGTGATGATGGTTTGATCAGATTGGCGAGGGTTTGCTTTTGGATTATGGATTGGACGATTCGGATCGAGAGCGGTGCATATCCTGAGAAGACATAGGATATATCGTTAGGCTCTGATTCGTTTACTTCATCATCCCAGAGCCTCAGACTCCGGCGTAAGGGTGTATAATTTGTTACCGACCCTGGTTTTGCGGCTGGTGTGGCGCCGAGACCAGAGCCTCCTCGTGGGTGGAGAAGAGCCATTTTCTCTAGAGATGACAGCGTGAGGAGGTGTTGCGGACCGTAGGCTTGAATAATGGCGCGTTTGAAGGCTTCAAGATCTTTTGGTCGCATTCCGGCATTTGTTGTGCATTCCAGACACAGGAGACGAAGGATAGTGGGTAGTGGTATATCACGCGAGATTAGCTCAGTGATAGATTCGTGTTGGGTTGTGGGGTCCGCGCCGGACATTATGTTTTGCTGGACTTCGAGGGAGCGCGTGAAGATGTCTGTACGGGTGTGTTTGATAATCTCTTCTGCTAGAGAGGTGTGAAGTTTGAGACTGGCTTGCTCCGCTTGGTATCCTGGGAGTTTGTTGACAAAGTCTCGTAGTTCTGCGGTTGTTTTAGAGGCCAATTGGTTCCGCTCGGTGCTGCTTTGTAGGCGTCGAGCTGCTTTGTTGAGAAGATTTCCAACGATAGCGAAGTTAGCATCACCGAGTGTGCCGTAGAGGGAGTCTTTAGGATCTATCATGACTTTGCGCTTCATAGTTGTTGACGCGGAGCCTGTTTGCCCAGGTTGGGGTGCAGCACCACCAACCACCGAGGAGTCTACTTCGGTCTGGTTTGCTGATATGCTGAACACTTCGTCAATGAGGCCTTCGTAGGTGAGTTGGGTGAGGAGCACGGTTGGAAAGTCGACCTCCCGATCAAGAATTATTAAGCTGTCAATGGTAGAGCTGGGAGTAAGTCCAAGGAAGGATGCCCCGTTGATATTACTACTCTCACCAGCAGTGACTTCGGTGCGCATTCGAATCAGGAGATCGGCGAGGCGTTTAGCATTTTCACCTTTGCCTATGATACGAGGGAAGAGGCCATGTCTTTGTTGATGGAGCATAAGGGCTTTTGCTGAAAGATAAATCGATGTTGGGTCCTTTCGCTTCGAGGTGTCAGACACTGGAAGAGTATATAATTATAATCTACCCACAAGATATAAATCTGTGACGGAGTCATCTAGCTCGAGCGACAACACATCGTCCGCAAGCGGAACGAAGAACAAGGGCCACTCGCTCACACTAGCCTCGCCAAGCACTCCAGCCTCTTCAAGGAGCTGGTCGGAGACCATGGTACGTCGGGGTACCCATAATATGGAGAATTCATGCTCGATTGATCCGTTGCGCCGTAATCGTTTGATTTGATCTGCGAGGGTTATCAGCACTATACGCTCGAGTCTCCCCGTATGGTAAAGCAAGAGGAAATCATTAGAAAGTGTTGAGAAATGTTTTATTTAATGTAGGGATCAAGACTGACATAGGTAGAGTAGGTGCTCTCTGCCTAGCCTACTTTAAGACCCCAAACGAACATCACGCACGACGAAGAGAACAAGGGCATGAGAGAGTAAGGAAAGATGGCCAAACATACCTGCAACGGCTAGTACAGTCTTCGCCTTCTCACCCCTGACTAGGAACACGATATTCCGCTGTGATGAGTCGACATTATCATTCTCCAAGAAGAACGGCCTGTCGACGCCATATTCCTGCAATGTTGAAAACTTCACCAACAGGTTCAGTGGTCCCGCAAGCGCCTTTTCTAGAACAAGATTTTTCTTCCCTCGCACCTGCACTCGCAAAGTCAGTAAGAATGACGCATTTCCCCGATGCTATTACCTTACACCTTCAAGGAGAAGAAGCAGGTCTCTACGGGCTTTTTCAGAAATCTCTGAAGTGTTGAATGGAGTTATTGGTGCCATGTTAATCAGTCCTCAGAGAATATGGAAAGCACTGGGAAGATACAAAGGCATGGTGATGCCCAAATGTGGCAGCCTTCGAGTGTAAGTGATGGTTTGGCGATGGAGCCCGGCGACTGACGTGCGGAACCAGGGATCTTCTCAAGCGCTTCACGTAATCGCTTAGTCAACTTATGGTCTGTGTGCTCGCTTTCGGATGAGAGTTGTAAGGATATTTGACCTGGCGCCACGTAACTTTAGGTGTTTCTATGTATTATTCTAAGGGTATCCTAGCATGTGCACATTTAAGACCTGAAAACCCAAGTATACATCATCAAGAAAGTATTGTACAGGCCCTGATCCGTTCGGAATAAGCCCTTAATTAGCTCCCAACGCCCTCAATGCTGACCGCAGCTCTTTCACTGCGGTGTTAACATCTTCAAAATTCAAAGCTGATATAGCCCATTTTGCACGTTTCTGCGCCTCCATCACGGACTCTTCATCCATTCTAAATGGACCTTGAAATGACGGCTGCTGGGGGGCGCCTGTCATTGGCTGAGGATATTGCTGGGGAGGTGGCGGTGCTTGAACAGACTGAGGTGGCTGTGGAGAGTACTGGTAGTGTTTTTGTGGTGAAATAGGACTAGGATGAAATGTCTGTGTTTGCTGAGGAGGCTGGGGGTGTTGAGGTCGCACTGGTGACGAAAATAATGACTGTTGGTTCTGAAACACATTCGGAGGGGGAAGCTGTTGTGGTGGTTGTTGTACCTGAGGAGGGGACGTTTGGTTCTGGTAGAAGGCTTGTGGGTCAGGTGCATGGGGTACTTGGGGTGCTTGGGGCCTTGTGGAGCTCTCAAAAGGGCCAGTCATCTGCTCGTCATCCCTCGACGGTGCAGTGGGAAGCCCCGGAGAGGCATTATCCGCAGTGAAAGTTGGGACATTTACCCTGGGGAAATACCCACCTCCAATAGAATCGACGGAGCCTTGCCGGGAAGTGGCGGGCTGGGAAATTGGGGAGACGTCTCGATGCGAGGGAAACTGGAGAGGAGGAGGCGTTCGTTGCGTTGAGTAACCAGTTGGTGCTGGAGGGAGATTCGGAGGTGGAGATATCCTTGAAGGGGAGAAAGTTGGGGAGGGCTGCGCAGAGGTATTGGGAGCGGACTCGACGTAAGGCTGGTATGGGTTCTGTGTCTGTGTTTGTGGTTGCGGTCGGCCTTCATTTATTCTTCGATCTTCTAGGTCATCCGGGTCTAGCGTAGGCGGAGATGTCGCAGGTGGAGGCGTTTCTTGAATGGGATTGGAGAGATTGGGGTCTTCGCCAGCCTTGAGGGCTTTAACGATGCGGAGGGCATGGTACTTTGCGAACTTCAGCTTGGAGGCAATTTCGGGCTCCAAAGGGTTCTTCCAGATGGACAACATCTCGAAGAAGGTGGCCGCGGCGCGGAAGGTATCTATAGTCTGCCTGTTCCGAGGTTTAGCGTTCGCTTCCTAGTCGATCTAGTGAGACATGCGCTGTCACCTTGTTCGCCCTGACGGCATTGTCTGCCCTCGCAAATGTCTCTAACGCAAACTGCTCGCAGTATGCATATGCAGCGACCTCGTCTAACAGAGCATCTTCGTTTGCATGTTCAGCTTTTGTCTGCTCGAGCTTCTCCATCAAATCGGTGGTATAGGTGGTGCATTCTGGATCGGCGAGATGAAGGTTCTTCCCTATGATCTTCTGGGTTATGTAGAACCTCACTAGCAAATATAAGCCGACTCTTCACTAGGTGAGGATGAGAACGTACGCCAGTAGGTAATAATAGGCTTGACCTTTTCAAGCTGGGCGGCGCGGTGGGCGAACTGGGCAATGTCAGCATCCTTGAGCCTCGCGGGGATGGTCGCCGCCATCTCGAGGAAGCTGGGGGTGGTGTTTGAATGGAAGGCGTTGGGAGCTATGTAGAGTTATGCAGACGCGACAGTTCCTGCTTGGTGGGATATCGGAGTGAACGTGTTAGTGGCTTGGCGTGAGAACCCCCTGCCCTGCACCCCGCCATGCGCTAGAGTAACATATGCAGCAGGAGCTTCATAAAGGACAACCTGTCATTTATCACGACACATGATGTGAGCACCCATACATAAGCCACCCTCACCTTGAACTTCCTCTACTTCAATTTTACCACCCCTTGTTTACACTCTCTTTCACCTCCCAACATAATGGTGCGCACAGCTACTCTCGCTGCCGCTACGGCCTCATTGCTTCTCTCTAACACTGTCCACGCCGAGGGATTGTACACCAAGAACTCGGCCGTGCTCCAAATCACTGGGCTGGACTATGACAGAGTGATTGCAAAATCAAACTACACCTCAGTAAGTTGACATTCCTGCCTATTCAATGGATTACTAAACAATTGACTAGATTGTCGAGTAAGCCCCCTTCCCATCCAGTCCTCCTTCATTCTTTAATGCATCTTAAGATTCTATGCACCATGGTGCGGCCATTGTCGAAACCTCAAGCCAGCGTTCGAATCCGCTGCCAAATCCCTCGCCGGTATCGCTAAAGTCGCGGCTATAAATTGCGACGATGAAATGAACAAGCCGTTCTGCGGTCAAATGGGTGTACAAGGCTTCCCGACCCTAAAGATTGTTCGCCCCGGCAAGAAACCAGGCAAGCCTTCGGTCGAGGACTACCAAGGTCAGCGCACAGCGAAGGCCATCGTAGACACTGTCAAGGACAAGATTCCCAATACTGTCAAGCGGATCACGGACAAGAACTTGAACGAGTGGCTAGCAGAGGACAATGAGACCGCAAAGGCTATCTTGTTCAGTGACAAGGGCCTAACCAGCGCAACTTTGAGGACGTTGGCCATTGATTTCGCAGGACTGATTCCCATCGCTCAGATTCGGAACAAGGAAACGGAAGCTATGAAGATGTTTGGTGTGCAGAAGGTCCCGACCCTGATTCTTCTTCCCGGTGGTGCAAAAGATGCGATCACTTATGACGGTGAAATGAAGAAGGAAGGCATGGTAGAATTCCTCTCGCAAATTACACCTCCGAATCCAGACTGTCCTCCGGAGAAGGTCAAGAAGCCCAAATCGAAGTCAAAAAAGGACGAGAAGAAGGCCTCAGCCTCACAGAAGTCTGCAGATGCATCCTCCACAGCCGCATCAACCAAGGGTGAGACAGTCGAGGAAGCGGTCAAGCCGGTGGTGTCTCCAGATCCAGAAATCAATGATGATGAGGCACCCAAGCCTGTTATCATCCCAGAGGAAGAGACGAAGCCAAAAATTCCCCTCGTTGCCGAATTAGCAGAGCTTCAATTGTCATGCTTGAATGCAAAGAGCAAAACTTGCATCCTCGCGATCCTACCTAAGGATGAATCATCCGAGGCTGCAGCATCCGCTCTGTCCTCGCTCGCTTCAATCCACAAGAAGCATGATGCCCGGGCTGGCCACCTCTTCCCCTTCGTCGGTGTTCCGGCATCAAATCCGCTGGCTTCATCGCTGGTTGCGGAACTGAAGCTTGGAAATGAGGATGAGGTCCACCTCATCGCTACAAATGGAAAGCGATCGTGGTGGAAGAAGTACTCTGGACAAGGATTTGGCTCCTTAGAAGTTGAGCAGTGGGTCGACGCCATTCGAATGGGAGAAGGCAAGAAGGAGAGGCTTCCTGACTCATTGTTGGCAGAAGAAGCAAAAGTGGAAGTCAAGGAAGAGAAAGTAGCGGACCAAGAACCCTTTAAAATCGAGATCGAGGAGATTCTAGATGATGAGGAGACGAAGGAGCCAGAGACACATCATGAGCATGGAGAGCTCTAATTAATGGATCAACGCGTTCAAGATGAGGATGAAAAGACTTGGGCTTTGTTCTTGGCCACATCCAAAATCAAGTGTATAACATCACGCTCACCAAAACAATTTCTAGCATGTGCAACAATACCATGGGATAGCAGAGGCATGTGATTGAGGCATTAGTTACATAATCTCCGGATTGGGTTTCTCCGAGCTCCGATCGCAGTTGCACCCCTGATTTTGCAACGTGAGCCTTTCACACACCGATACTAAATGCACCCATCTCCGAATTAGAGAATCATTTCTTAACTGCATTACGTCTAACCTTGATGCATTGCTTGGTGGAACAAGGATTCGCGATGGGTGTGATCCCCCTTCATCACTTAGTGTGCGGCACAGCAGCGTCTCGTAACCGCTTCCTCCTCCCCGTCGTCTCTGTGTACGTGTCTTTTCCAGCGGGTTCGTCCCGCATCTAAAGCTAGGCTGAGGCTTTCCGCCCCTGTTCATTCAGCAAGTCTGGGAGGAAGGCTGGCATGTCATAACTGCACTCTCCCGCCGTTCTTTAGAACCCTTCCTTTTTCGACTTCCGTCTCTTGAGAGCAATTGCTTTAGATCCAACACTAACCTATAGGAGGTCGAAAGAATATCAATAGCGTTTCGCTTTGGGGCTGCATATGAGGTCCCACACATCGTCTCAAACAGTCGATCAAGAAGGCAACTCTGAGGTCTGATACGCGATCCAAAACCAATAAGTTGTCGGCATGCTGTACATCAGGTGATCTTGACTGAGTCTCTTCGACGACCTCCAATCGCTCCATCATGGACAGCATATTAACGCCTACCACTGAGCATTGATAGCTAGGCATGTTTAGCGTGTTGGCCAAATTAGGGCAAGCGTTTCGAAGAAGCGCTTCCACTACGTTTGCTAGCATGTTGTACAACGCTCCTCTTCGAAGAATTTCATTGGTAGCCTTCAATGCAACTCCGCATAGTGCTACACTTCGAAACACGTTGGCTTATCTTCATACATCGTAATTTGTTTCACCCTTTTTCGATATTTAGCATATTCTAATATGAGATATGTTCGGTCGCTAATGTCAAGTATTTAAGTCTGCGTCTCTCGGTTTGAAGATACTCTTACCCAACCTCCCACACCTTTTTATCCAATACATATCTTCGGCAGAACTTAGACGGACTTGTTTGTTTTGTTTTTGTACTTCAACATCATAATGGCTGGGGTAGACACTCTGGAGCAGCTGCACTCTAAAGAGCAAGAATCACTCCTCGATGCCATCGATCAACTTCGTTCTTATGGAGTCAGCCATCATGATATTAGCCTGCCCCAGGTAATTGTCTGTGGAGATCAATCCACAGGAAAGAGCTCGGTTTTGGAAGGTCTCACGCGTCTCCGATTCCCTACGAAAGATGCGCAGTGTACAGCTTTCGCTACTGAACTTATCCTCCGGAGAACCTCGGGCCCAACTATCGCAATCCTTTGCAGCATCATCCCCTCTAATAACAGGACACAAGCCCAGAAGCAGCAGCTTGAGAAATTCCAACGGTCGTTCTCGTCACGCGAGGAGTTTTCATTTCCCTCCCTCCTAGAGGAAGCAAAAGCATGCATGAAGATTGAAGCCACAGCTGGAGCGGACAGATTTTCGGAAGACATATTGCGTATTCGATATACCGGCCCAGATCTTCCATCTTTAACCATTGTCGATTTACCAGGATTAATCCATTTTCAGGTCCAGCGACAAAGCGACGAGGATGCCATACTAGTTCAGACCTTAGTCCGAAAATACATGCGCAACGAGAAGTCCATTATCCTAGCCGTGGTTTCTGCTCGCAACGACGCCGATAACCAAGTCGTCCTGAAGTATGTTCGTAATGAGTTTGATCCTCTTGGAACCCGCACTTTAGGCATCATCACCAAACCAGACACCTTAGACTCTGGATCAGAGACTGAGCAGAAATTTATCGAAATGGCTCAGAACAAGGTGGTCAAGTTTGAGTTGGGCTGGCATGTTGTCAAGAACAGAAGCTTCACTGAGCGTGAACAGCCTGATGCTGAGCGCGACGAATCAGAAAGGCGATTCTTCGCCACGGGAGTCTGGAGGTCTGTTTCTCGATCGGACGTTGGCATCGATGCCCTGAGGACAAAATTATCGAAAATCCTTCTTCACCAAATCCGGGTAGAACTTCCTTCTCTCGTCGCGGCTATTGAAAACGCTATTAAGGCCACCGAGACCAGATTACAGAATTTGGGCAGCTCTCGGGAGACTTCAGATCAGCAGCGTACTTACTTAACAAAGAAGGCCGAAATTTTCCAGACCTTGACAGAACATGCGCTCCGAGGAGTTCCTAGTCATCCATTCTTTGATGGTCAGGAGGCAAAGAAGTTGCGTACAGAGATTCAGAACCTCAACATTGCCTTCGCGCATATCATGTACCAGAAGGGACACCGTTGGACTGTCGCGGATGACCAGCAAACACAAAACCCTTCCAGCCCTTTCGCGTCAAGCAAAGTTGAGGAATATGATGCGGAAGTGGACGATCCGGAGACAATCCCCAGGGCAGAGTTTCTGGAGAGTTACATTGGGCTTGCAGTTCAGCAAAATCGGCAACCAGGTCTTCTGTCACTCGTCAACCCATTTGTCGTGTGCGTGATCTTCCGTCAGCAGTCCCATCGGTGGCGAGATATAGCCAAGCTCCACATTAATCGGGTAGTCCAGGCAGTAAGAGAATATGTTGAGCTCAGCTTGATGTATCAGATGGACTCACGAACATACAACATGCTATTCTTAGAGCACATAGGGCCTGAGTTAGAGAAGAAGAGAGCGGCGCTTGAGAAGAAACTAGACGAGCTACTATTACCATACGAGGCAAGGGACCCCACGATGTACGATCCGAGCTTTGGGGCCGAACTCGACTATATTCGCGCTCGCAGATCCTACGAATCAAAGACAGGCGCCGCTGAGGGAGGCCATAGTAGAGCGAAGCAGCAGTTGCTGATGCAGTCTATCGACGACTTTACTAATTCTGAGATTTTAGACCTCATGCAAACGTATTATAAGGTACGTTCAAATCTTTCCGTTGATCCTCAAAGCTTGTTTTCTTTTTTCTACAGGAAGCTAGGCTAACCGCAGTTTAAGAGAGCTATAACAGTTTTCATCAACAACGTCGCAATGCTAGCTATTGAAAATTGTCTCGTTGCTGACCTCGCGTCCATCTTTATTCCGTCTGTAGTATCCGCCATGAACGAAGAGCAACTCCGTACCATTGGCTCAGAGTCCGAAGAGATTTGTACAGAGCGCAATGCACTGAAAGAGACGCTGGATGCTCTGCAGTCTGGAAAACGGGTGCTAGATCTTCAAGTTTGCAATGCCGGAATTGGTGAGTGCGAACATACAGGTCAATAAACTTCGACGCTGACAGCCTCTAAGTCTTAAGGCATGGGTTAGGGCCAAGAAAATGTTTGGTAGGCGCAGGATACCCAGTCAGGATACAAGTCTCGAGGCCGCAGACCCCAGCGTCCCAAATGGGATATAGTGGAGAAGACGATGATCCAAGTTAGTCGCTCCTCGTACCTTTCATCAATAGACACCGATCTTGAGCTTACAAATACCCACCACAGTCGAGCGAATGTCCTCTAGTTTCAACAGCCTCAAGGTGTCCCCACCCAGCGGCGCTTCTAAACCCCGGCCTTCTTCGGCGTCGAAGACTCGAAGTCGAACTTCGTCAGTAACGCCGGCAAAGAATGCTACAACTCAGCCAACCGTGAATGAAGGTTTCAGTCGCTCTGAAGTGGATCCTGCTCAGGAATCGGATACGGAAGATGATGTGTCGACATTTTGGCCGTTGGGAAAACGGCTTCCGCCTCAGGCCGAAGCTACGAGTAAGGCATCCCAATTAATCCACGACCCAAGTTCTATACAGCATATTCGCGCATATTCTGGAATGTAGTCAAGCGGTCGTAGTCTTCTTAATCCCTTCCCATTATCAGGTCGGGTGTCAAGAGGATAAGGACTTCCATCCCAGACCATACTTGGCCACACCCCAAAATATCTTCCATCACGCTGTATTCTATTGTGGATGTTATAAATCTGAAGTTTAGTGCTAACAATTCACCCAGGAGCTTAATACTTCTCTATTAAAGAGCCAGCAACAGCTTGATGATCGACAGCGAACAGGGCAACTCCTACAGGTTTAAGGCCACAACCTGTCAATAATTTTATCATCGCACAAGTGAAGCCACCTTTCAGCAAAACCTTTTCATTAAAAAAATATATAAAATATATCCTTATTTCGTATCCTCAACGCTATATACAAATGCGTATTCTTATTGTCAGGTCCTGTTCTATAGTGTCTTGGTTTGCGATAGTGCTATGTGGTCTGCAATTCTCAAGTCCAGATGAATCCTCAGGTATAACATTCAAAAATATAACAAAACGGTAGTTCATGACCACATTTCCTGCTCATAAATTACGCCTGAGCATCGTTCCGCACGAAGCCACAACGCCATATGCCTCTAAACAGCTTATCTTCGTAATGGTGGTGAGTAATACCATCTCGGTAAAGTTGTGTTGTCTCGTCTGATATTCCACGGCCCACAGACGAAGTGAACGGAAAAGTCCAAAATCTCCTTTTCGCTAAGAAGGCGTTTACATCTAGCAGGAGATTTATCGGACAACTGGACTATGGATAGCTCAAACTTAGAGATTACCATTGCGCTTCGGACTTGTTGGATCAAAACCCGAGTCTCTCCCGATTTACCACTTCCTAAATAGTTTGCAATAGATCTGCCCGTACAATACGCGCGGATACATTATACATTTGGACCCTCAGATTTGCTACGCTTTGATCAGGAATAGGTTATAATCTCTCGTCCGCGAGATTTTCATATCTTGTGGCCATTGTTTGATCTAGAGGTTCTGAATCCAATCCGCATCAGCGGACAATGTCTATCTCCATATGAGAGGTTGAATCTGAGATGAAAAGCTTTTTCTTCCCACATTCTGAGAGACTTGAAGAGGTGGCCATTAATTTGCAGTTCAACACGCAAAACAGAGACGGTTATCTATTTATGCTTCGGCAACAACTTAAACGGAAGCTGGTTGATCGCTGCGTTGAGGACTCAGATCCTTCTCTACTTGAGAATTTGGCGAATTTCTTTTCGCTTGTATGCATGAGCTAAGATCTTGTCTATCCGCTGCCATTTTGCGCTACTGCTCCATGAAGATTGATATTCCGGGACATTCAGAACAGATGCCAACACCCAAGCCATCGTAAGACCTGCGGGGACCAATATAACAATAGCAATGGCCTTGAAGCTTACATCCATGCTACGAGTCCAAAGAATGGCGATAGGAATCGCCGATATAGAAATAGCGCTAAGGTGGAGATAGAAGGCCCACATCCGTCCGTCGCCAAATAGAAGCGCGACGAGGAGAACCCAGATGAATGTGGATAAAGGGATGGGATCATTGGACTGGAGGTCACTCTTCTCCGCATATATCCCATCATGGATCCTCTCGCGCGTTTGAAGAGGCTTGCGCGTACAAGAAGCCGAATGCCGTAGATGACAACAACGGAACTGGCGGCAGCCTATGAAACTGGTCAACGGGACGCCCGATTTCAGTTCTTAGACTTGAATGCTGAACAAGATTTGAATTGAAGGTCAAAGGGCACAACGCACTTTACAAAATTTAATATATAAGACAGATTTAACAAAATCTAAATTAAGCATAGCTATAAATAGATAACAGCCTTTAGAACTCTAGGCAGCTTTTATAAACTTCTAGTTATGCTATTTAGCCTAACTAACGCCCCTACTACATTCTAATAAGTTCTAAACATAGCTTTTAACTTATACTTAGACGTCTTTATGTTAGTATACCTAGATAACATACTTATCTATACTAAAGGCATCTAAGAAGATCACATATCTAAATTTAAGCAAGTATTAGAAAAGCTTTTTAAATATAGCCTACACTTATAGCTATCTAAATGCAAATTTAACATGTAGTAAATAAAATACCTTAGATTTATAATTAACAAAGAAGAAATTAAAATTAACTTTAAAAAAGTCTAAAAAGTCTTAGAATAGCCTAAGTCTACTATAGTAAAAGAAATTAGAGGATTCCTTAGATTATTAGAATGCATAAGAAGAATAATTAAAGACTACTTAAAAATAGCTCTACCTTTTACTAACACTATAACAAAGAAAAAAGCTATAGTAAAATTTATATAAACTTTAAAAATAGCGACTGCATTTAAAACTCTTAAACATGCTATAAGTAGTAAACTAATTCTATAGAGGTATAACTTATAATTAAAAGTAAGGTAAACACAAATGCCTTTTTACGCGCAGAAGAAGCAGTCCTCTACTAAAAACAAGAAAACAGACAGTAGCACCTAGTAGCCTACTACTTAGCTAAATTCTCCTAATTAGAAGCAGATTATAGCATACTAGATTAAAAACTAAAAGGTATAGTAAACACTTTAAAAATATAAAAAATAATTTAAAGTGTTTACTAACTACACTAACTTTATTACTTTTTTTACTACAAAAAAACTATTCTTAATGCATATATAATAAGTAATAGAACTAGTAACTATAATTTAACTTTATAATAAAGCATATTGCTAAAATAAGTAACTAGTAAGTAGATGCTTTAAGCTAAAAAGTAAACTACTTTAAAAAAGATAAAAAAGATAGTAAAAAATTTACACTATTTTTAAAAAAAAAAGATATAATAGTTTATAATAAGCTTATACTAATAAAAATAATTACCTTTTTTACTTTACTATAATAAGGCTAAAAGAATCTTATCTAAAAATACTATAAAGCTTTAATGTTTAGACACTCTAAAATTAAAACATTATAAAAAAGTTAAAAGCAGCTATTTCTTAGATAATACTACACCTAAAGCATCTATACACTAAAGTATTACGCAAATATAATATTTATAATTAAAAAAGTATTAAAGACATAAACCTTATAGAACACTGTAACTAATTAAGGCCTCTAAGCAACCTTAGACTATAATAACTATAGACTTTATTACAAGTCTACCTCTATCTTATAAACTAAAATTAAAAAGGCTTTATAACATAATAGTAGTAACTATTAATAAAATAACCAAGTTTATATATTTCTAAGCATTAAAAAATAATAATAGCTAAGAAACTTATTTATAAGCTAGAAAGATACATTCTAAGCATCTATAGCAGCCTAAAAGTAATTATATCTAACTATAATAAACTATTTACTACCTACTTTTAGTAGGCAGCTATAAAGCATTTAAACATTAACTATAAACTATCTACTGCCTACTACTCTTAGACAGATAGACAGACAGAATAAGTAAACATAGAAATAAAGAAGTATTTAAAGAAGTATGTCTTCTTTAAATAAATAAATTAAGTAGAGTAGCTTTTTATAGCTTAGTTGGCTATAAACACTCTTAAGTTATTAATAATAAAAAAGACACCTTATAAGGCTAACTTTAGCTATTACTTACACTATACTTTTTAAAGAATACAACTGCAAGATCTAGTAAAAGCTATTGATAAAGTAAACTAGACACTTAAACTTTACTAAAAATTAGTAGTTAAAGCTTAAAATATAAAATATAAAATAAAAAAGTAGTTTATATAAACCTAATCTAAGGCTTCTAAGATCTAGCCTAAAGACTATGTGTATTTAGACATAAAACATCTGTAAACACCTAGACCTTTTAAAAAGCTAGTAAAAAAACAAATTAAACTATATAAAGTGCTATAAACATAAAGAGATAACGTACTTCATAGGCAAGTCGCTCACACACCTGAGTCGCTTACTTTTGCCAAGACCCCACCCTAACAAACTCTATTATAGCCCATAACAACCCGCTCTAGCACTATATAGTACAGTATAGCCTAGAATATTATTTAGATACTACTTCTGCTTCTTGCTTACACATTTGCGCGTTATGCCTAGTCTAATTGCACTGTCTGCAGCGCCTTTAGAATAGCTTACCTACTTTAGCTTACACCTGCTTCTTTGCCTTTTTCCTATTACTGCGCGCCCTAAACTTCTTTAAAGCTGTTAATTATAAGCTTTTTTAAATTATTAAGGTCTTTTCTGCCTTAATTTACTTTTTTTTATGTAATTTATGTTATGTAGTAGCTTTATTAGCTGCTTAAAGCTTAGTAATTTTCTATTACACTAATACTAGCTTATGTGTAATTATTACTACCCTCTTTAAAACCTTTTTAAACACCTTAACTATAAAAGTTAGTAAACTATTTATATGCTTCTAAATTCTTATCTTTATAAGCATTAATTATAACCTAAGTTTTAGAGTATTACTTAGGGTTTACAACTGCTAAGGCTTATTATATATAAGTAGTAGTAGTAATAAAGTGCACAACTTTACATTAAGGCCTATTATAACTTATTATAAGTTAAAAAGAACTAATTTAGCGCTTTAGAACTTTTTTTAGATATTACTAAAAGTAATTACAGCATTATAGGCTGCTTTAAAGCATAGTAAGAACTTTATTTTTATAATATAAGTAATCTAGTTATGTATAAAGTTTTTAGCTTAGCGCTTATACGCCTTTTTTAAAGGAGTAAAACAACTTATATTAAGTAGCTATAAAAAGTGTAAAAAGTAAAAAAGTATGTAAATAGTAATAATCTTATTATCTTTATAGTATTACTAAAAATAAAGTAAGTTATAGCTTTTATAGCTATTAATAACTAGTAGATAGTAGCTGCTAACAGTACACTTCTTTATATGCGCGTTAAAGTGCTTTAACTAGTCTAGACTAAGCTAATAAGTAGTCTAGCTACGCTTAAAGATTATAATAACTTAATTCTAAAGTAAATTTTCCTTCTTATACTAGTTTAAAAGGTAGTTACTACCTTAAAAGATAATAAAAGGCAGAATAGCTTACCTTTTAGCATTAATGCTCTAAATAGCTATTATTTACTTCTAGTTACCTAGCTAGACTACTTTTAGCTGTCCTTGTCTCTTTAAACCTATAATAACTGCTCTAGTAGATATCTAGCCTATTATAAACCTTATTTTATTAAAGTTATATGTATTATTATTCTAGATGCTATACTTAGCTTTAATATTCTTTATAAAGTTAAACTAGCTTTAAATTACTATAAAATTCTTATAAAAAGCTTTTTTATAGTTATACTTATACTTAAACTTTACTTTAAGCTTTAGGTAACACTTAATAAATATATTAAGCTAGTTTATGCTAATATAGCTTATATTATGCTTAGCGTGTA